TTGATGTCAACACAACTGTTTACCATGACCATGCGCCACATTTTGAAAATATTGGTTATCATTTCTTAAAAACTGCTTTAATGGTGATCGATATTTTGACAAAAAAATCAAACTTTGCTTTCGAAACTCGGGCCATTACAAATTATGCATCAAGTTCATCGATAATTTCTAACTGGTTAATAAAATATGTTTCCGACCAGCTTTCAAAAGGGGTTGTTTGATATGCATACTCATTTAAAACGTTTTATAATGTCCATATGTTTTGTATCCTCCTACAGATGCTCAACATATTCAATTTACTAACAAATTAGATATAATTGAGAATTTATATAACAATCATCTAAATACTACATTTTATTACATGATGGTGAAATTCCCTGCAATCTGATTGGTGCACGTGACTTAAATATATCCTGTATTTACACGCACATTCCACTAAGCGTTGGATACAGAGTGAAAAAGACGTCAGCGTTGGGATACAGTCTAGTATCCCAACGCCCCAGATTTCCATCCAGGATATGACTATTACTGAAAAAAATCAATGGTGATCAGTTTACACCAACGCATGCTAATATTTGCATTTTGCTAGAAATATCTGATTTGAATATCAGGAAATGATACGGTGATCATCACAATTTATAATTTTAGGATAAAAAAACACACATCTGTGAATATAAAAAGATCAAAATGAAGCATGCACATTGTTTTCATGAACTAGTAAAAAATTTAAAATCCAATATGGCAGACGAAAGTCGAAAAAACGTTTCGCTACACTGCACTTCCAGCTGATGAAATTGAAGAAAAAAAAGAAAATCAAATGTCTCGTATAATACAATACAAGGCAAACAACAAGGCCATAGAGATTTTGAAGGAATATCGATGTAAAATATCTCTGAGGTGAGAAGGTTGATCTGTTTCTCCGGCCCCAAGCCAAGGGACTTGATTTAGGCAAGTTTTATATGGGTAATCATGGAATAAAAACGTTATTCAATGATTTCTCGTGAAATACAGAAAATATTCTTCCCTTGAACGTCTGTATTTCACTCTGCTAGTGCATCGTGAAATACAACCTTCTCGGGAAGAATATTTTCTGTATTTCACTCGAATCATTGAATAACTTATAGTGTTAGTCTCATTTCTGGAAATAATTGTTCATTGATGAAATCTTAATGTTTGGGGATACAAAATATTGGACTGCAAACCTAAATCCACCACAATGTTTAACAATATTTAACAATGTTTGTCTGATCTTAAACAAATGATGCATCAGCAATGTTGATTTAACCAGTGTGTTGGAGGATAGAAAATATTAGACAAATGGTATATGCATAGAAAATGTATTTCATTGCATGGGCAACACACATCTAACATCGCCCTGATGTCAAACATGTTTTTGTAGTTTGAAAAATATCAGCGCAATCGATGCTCTGTACGAGGGGTGATCGATAAGTAATGGACGCTTTTTAACACAGATACTTTTTATGGACCAATACATTCGATTTTCTTACCAGTGATACATCGTTCAATTATCTATCAACTCTGAAGATTTGAAAACAAGACATGTAATATATTTTGCTATATCTTTATTTCCGTGAAGGAGGTAGTATAGCTACCCCAGGACCGACATGACGTCAAACATTCTTAAGCTATTTTAGCTTGAATAACATGCAACGCAGTTGAACGCAGGCTGAATAAAACAAACCATTATGGTCAAGAATTGCCCCATTTTGTTATGCCATAGTTGATTTTGAATATTTTATCATCACTTTGTGATATTCATGCCACATTCATTCTACAGGGCCCTCTACATAGGTTCCATCAAGTGCTATATGTACACAATTCCTCATCCTCTTAATTCAAGATTGTGAGACAAGGCTGAATCCAATCTCTGACATGGTAGCAAGATGCAGTTGCACGGGTTGTTTTATTTCATCAATGTCAATAAACCTGCGTCCCTTCTTTATAGAAATAAGTACTATAAGAATAAGTAAGTCACATGTGGGCAGATCTGGACAATATGGTGCATTGGCAAAGGGCTCAATTTTGAGGTCCAGGGATATTTTTTTCGTAACATTTTGAGATCTGTGGGCAGGTGCATTGTCCATATGAAGTAGAGTGTTCCCTTCTCTCACCAACTCCTTCTTCCACAATGCTTCCTCAAATTCCTGCAAACCCCGACCATACAACACTCACACATCACATTACTTACTGTTTGTGTGTTACCAGTCAGCAAAATATTTCAAACAACACAACACTTGTTGCATATAAAAACGTTTAGATATAACTGAAATGCCAAACTGGCTAAAAACTGAATATGTGACATAAATGTCGGTCCCGGGGTACCTGTACCTCCTTCACGGAAATAAGGATATATCAACATGTATTATATATTCTGTCTTCAAATCTTAAGAGTTGATAGATAATTGAATGATGTATCACTGGTAGGAATATCAAACGGATCGGTCCATAAAAAGTATCTGTGTAAAAAAGCGTCCATTACTTATTGATCACCCCTCGTATGTGCTGTAATCCGGGTTTGTATCATCACAAACAAAACAAAACTTTGTTTTTTGACAAAAAATCATAGTTTTAGCTGTTTTGAGAAATGATAATATTTTCAGTATACATTCTATGATTATGATAACCAGTTGTGATGACATCAAAATAGCACACGTTAAATGTCGTTGATATCAACACACACGACGCAGGCTTTAGTAGAACAATTGATTTTAGAAATATCAATTATCGTAAAAGTCCGTGTGCAGTATGGCAAGTGATTTTAGACAGTCATATATTTCACCATGAGTACTTTCTGGCTATAAATACAGTGGTTTTTGTTAAAACAATATGTTTTCTTTCAAGTGAAGCCCCCATGATAGTAAATATCAATCCAATTATCTGAAAAATTATGGATAAGGGCTTATTTTCTAAAAAGAGGATCTTGTTTTTCTCAATTTAAACATATCAAAAGTCTCTTCTACACTATATAAACAATTTCTGAAAGGGGATCGGTATTGAAATGCGTTAAAGTTAAAAACCACATATTCCATGTCATTTTCCGATAGAGAACGAAAGAGAGACGAAAACAAGGCATTAACATGACGAAATGTCGCCACCTAGTTGCTCACAATATTATTAGTTCAATCTTAAGTCAGATTTGAAATATTGAGAACTTGTAGATAATTTTAAAAATAAAAATTGGTCAATTTGAAGTAAGTTGATCTCAAATCTAAAGTCAGATTTGAACTTCTGAGAACTTGTAGATGACTTTGAAAAAAGGAATTGATCAATTAGAAGCAAGTTGAAAAAATACCTTTTTGACCTTGAAAAGGTCAAATATTTTTTGACCTTGAATATGTCATTGAAGGTCAAATCTATGGTCAGATTTGAACTTTTGAGAACTTCTAGATGATTTTGAAAAAAAGAATTGGTCGATTTGAAACAAGTTGAAAAAATACCTTTTTGACCTTGAGAAGATCAATGAAGGTCGAATCTCATTCTCAAATCTAAAGTCAGATTTGAACTTCTGATAACTTGTACATGATTTGAAAAAAGAATTGGTCAAACTCGTACCAAAAATGAAGAGCAAGTTCAAATAGCCAGCTACGATGAATTTCCACCGTCTTAGAAAAGGTTAATGTTAACATGGTTAATGCTACGAAACGACAAAGGACAGTCAACCTATATAAGGTGATGCTTGTATTGGACTTCCCCGTGGCAAAGCTATAAATGTGCATCACTTCATCATTTGATGAGAGATAACATCAAAGACTTAGCAGCCTTTGTCAAAGGATTTGTCTTGTTGTAATATTCTTCATTAAGAGATATCTTACTTTTAATTAATATGAATAGACTAATTACACATTGCTTTGAAGTTCTTGTCGCATCATGTGATGCATGAGAGATAATACCTTGAAATTCATATTTGGTAAAACAAAGAACGAGATGCATTGCAAGTTGACATAATCTTGATTTACGTCATTAAATATTCAAAATTTAGTCAAAGTGATATCATAGTTGAAGTCTACACAAAATTACAAATGTGGCATAAAAAATTATTCATCAACTTTGAAAAATTAATTTTCTTTGAAATGTGGCTTCTTGATCGGAGAGAATCGCCATAGATGAAATATCTTTTCTCACCTGTGTCATGTAAAGTTATCCTATGTAATAGGTAATTTTAAAGTTAAAATTAGCCGATCCCATGCGTAATACGGTATACCGCTTATACCACACGGTATTACATTTGTGATTTAAAGTGTTATATCGCAGCAATTTTTATTTCGTGTATTGCCTGACCCAAGCACGTAATTTTAATGTTTTATTTCGTGACTCAGCTAGCTTGCCCGAGGAAAACATGCATCAGCTCTTTCTGTTTTGAAACTGGTAAATGTTCTCTCGAGATCTCTCTAAATTTTAAGAATGTAAGTGCGAATACTGAACGTAGCGAAAACTGCAGCAGGCTTGGTAGATCTCTGGAAAAAGACACTGGACTGACTTTTAGCCGGAGGGAGAAATTTGAGTCTACTGTACACGTTTGGAACAAAATATATGACAGGTGGATTTTTTACTATTCTTCGGCCACAGTGTGTATTGATTCATTTATAAATATATTTAAAACCAAGAGTATTGTTAAAAAATTTGCAAACTATTTGAACTGTATTTTTAATATAAGAAAGAATCACATATATAAGATTAATAATTAAATGTTTAATGTGTCTCATAAGCCCAGTTTGGGTTGGCTATTTTGTACAATAGGTGACACTTTAATAAAATAAATGAATAATATAAAAAAATGAATGAATAAAATACCACTATTATATTGCAAAATCTCTGTTTGAAACGCCTGTAAACTTCGACGGATATCATAAATTGTAAATAAAAAACACAGTGCCCAAATGAGAAGTATGCTCACGTAGCAGAATGGCACTTTCATAAATCATCTCGACAATGACATAAAAGCTATAAAAATCACTCCTCAATATTTTTTAAACATAACGTTGGAAATAAACAGCGATAAAAACAAACGAAAGTGCGATACTGGATTATCTACGACTTGTGTGTACACACCACTTTAAGTTGTAATCCTGCATTTTAATTAGGTGAACGATGAATAAATGCATTAAAATTGGGTTGCACTAACTATTTACCATCTGCAATCAGACACAGCACTACCTTTATATATTGTATACATACTTATAAGAACGTAAACAACAAAAACATATGAGATTCTAATCATGGTGGACGAGGCTAGGCTTCAGGATGAACTAGGACCGTCTCCCCGTGTGTTTCTAGTGGAATATACAAACAAGACACAGACATACAGTGAAAATATATTTCAGGTTGATGTACAAAACTTGGAGGAGATTAGAAATGTCCTCAAGGTAAATACTATAAACAGTATAAGTTAACAGGTTTACTGTATGTGAGCAAATCTCCATTCATACACATTACTCCTTAATCTTTTAGGTAAAATGTCACACTTAGATTTTTAAAATTTGCTAATACCAGAATTATACAATTACTACTGATTTCGTTTAGTGATATTCACACAACTTATACGTTTGTGAAAGAGACACCTAAACGCTTTATACATCCTTCTCTATGACTCTTAATGAAATAGAAACTAAACTTACCAAAGGTAACCTTCTAAATAGAAATGAATTGTTTTGATAAATGTGGCTTTAGAAAGACACCTATGATTTGGAGGGATACAAATATATTTATATGGTCTCAATGAACTGAATACCAAGATAATATGGTCAATCTTATTAACTGTATATTAGCTTTTTATCCTATGTCACACTACTACCTAACCCCTAGAAATGCAGAAGAAACTCTGTTTGTGTAATTGTATTGTTTAGTATATTTTTGAAAGTACCTTATTAACATCTAACGTCATCCGATAAACCATTAATAAGGAACAGACAAATAAAAACAAATAAGATAATTATACTAATAAGGCAAATGGTTTGCTCATGAACACCAAATGCAAGGTATAGTAGAGTGTATGTATAACTATAAAATACTGCTCATACTCCCCATGACAAAATAGTTCGACACACCTCATTTTGATTTTTGTTTGTTCAAGGACAATCTTGTGAGAATACGAGGGCAAAATTTCACGTTTTGTTTTTGTTTATTTGTTTCACATGTTTTGCAAAAACATCAAGGTCGTGAACGTGGCACCGGTGTCACAAAGTTTGCATTTGATCAAATTCCGATCGCAGAAAGGTAAATATGAATAGTACCTGCCACTATTCCATTCAAATTTAAATGAGTTGGTCATAAAGCCGGTAGTCGATAGCCGATAGTTGCATTCGCGAGCTTAGATATTTTCATTTATCTGGCAAAAATCGAAGAAATAAAATATATTTTCCAAACTGGACATCATCATCATTTAGCAAACTTAAGTGGAAAAGCTAGTGGTCGATTACAGTAGCACACCTATGTGAGCTAAAAGGGTCGTTTCATATCATTTTGTTTCAATATGCCTAGACCACTGCAAAAAAATATTTCATTATGAGTCAGTTTTAAATAGTTCTATCATGAACAGGGGGCATTTTTACCATTTAAGTCAAACAGTCCCAGCTATAGTTACAGAAAGAACCTTACATGTACGAAACAAAACGCATAAATATCTGAAATTATTTTATAGGCAGCTCGTACTCTTGGTTTGCGGGTGAGAGCTGTAGGAGGCGGATATAATCCCATTGCTTTGTGCCCAGACAGAGGCCAGATACAATTGAGACTCCATGATTTAAAGCGATTTGATGGACCCCGATTGGAGCTTCACGAGGTAATAACATGGATCACATAATTTATTAATTTATTAATACACTATATGAATACACGTCCATTCAATATGAAAATGAATGAATTTACAAAATATACGTTTTGTTAACATAACAATAAATGCACACACTTTATAATACCTAAAAAGCAATTTTTCGGTATTTTTGTTCACATCATTTCAAGGTGTGCCTATTTCCTAATTATGCCAAATTCTGACTTAATGTTAAGATAATCCTAAGTCACCTTTATCAATTCTCATGAATTTAGACATTTCTGCAACTTAAATCTTCAATAACATCTTATCTGATTAAGCGTTCGAATCTTTTAATTTTTCAGAAATAAAGAAATAACTATTATCTCTCTCCTTTTTGATTCCATGTGTTGTTATGTACTGATCAACAGATCTCAATTTGGCATAAAATAAATGTTGTCCAAAAAGCAGACATTGCTCCAAAAAGCCGACCAGTTGTGACATTCAATTCAGTGAAGCTTGATTGATTTGAGATTTTCGCAGCCTTCATATTAAAACAATTTTCCGAGATTATTGAAACCGCAAGTAGGTATTCAAATCACTTCAAAAGATTATAGAAATATTGGATAAACAAAAATTTCAAGGATTGTCACCTCATCTCGAGAAAGCCATCTTTCAGGTGAGACAGTTAGCTATTATGCTGTGTTTTCTTGGAGCTCCGCCGTGCTAGAAATGTGTGATTTCGTATTTTGAGTTTTAGCCCTTTTCAATGAGGTTAATATTCCTGATGAGGATTCATGGTTGGAGATTAAAATTAAATTATATATCGATGATTTATAAAATAAAATAATACCAGAATGCCGACTCGGGCATATTTGATAATGGCTCTTCTTATTTCAGGTGTTTATTAATTTTAGCAGATCATATTCGGCCTACTTGCCATATATCCAGGTTATTTCCCACCCACACTCTTATACAATACACATTCAACCCCACATGAATTACAAATATAAGCGTCTCCATCCTGAGCATGGCTTTAAGTATAATTTACAATCATAATATTCTTCGCTTCTTTCTACATTCGTGTCGACTTACATAAAACAAAAAGCAATAAACGTACACTCTCGACTTTTATGTTTGAAATAAGATGTCTGGGATTAGATACATCGCATCTTTTATCTCGCTTACCTCACAAGCTGGGTCATAAAATCCCTACTTAGTAATTGTATTTTTACTTCAAACATTTGTTTAAAAAAATAACTCCTTTGGATACTGATAACAGTAAGTAGTAAGTATTAATTAGTAATGCAGTTTTCGCCTTTCCCCAATGACAAAGTATTTTGAAAAGAGCCAGCAAATGTTAATCCCAAAAAACTTTTAAATTCATCCTTCCCTTCTTGGGAAGCAATGACGCATAGGATTCGAAGTCACGTGTGGCACAACATCCAAGTCTTTTATTTAGATTTGTTATTCATTTAGAGTAGTTGGCACTGGGAATATTTAATTATATTTCAAATCAAGAAAAACAAGGCTCATGGTGAACAATATTGTACCTAAAATATAGCAGTGTGTGAGCTTGTTGACCCAGAGAGAAAAATGGCCGTCCAAAAGTTAATCAGCTCTAGAATTCTTACCATCTAACATTATGTTGAAGTATTCTGTCATGTAGTTCTTTTCGAATCGCGATGACAAGATTTCTCTAAAAATTGCAAAATGGCCGCCAGAATGCAAGATGGCCGCCGTTAAGGTAAATTAGTCTTAGAACTTCTCACCATGTAACATGAGTGTAAATTTAAAGTAATTCCATAGTGGTTTTCATAGAAAAGTAAGACTCCACGCGCCCGCCCGCCAACACTCCCGCCGCCCGTGAAACTGACGACAATATCTGTTACGCGGTAAACACGATACAAAAAGATGTCATATTCCGCAACGAATATTGCATATTCATTTGCGGTGTATGTCAGATTCACCCGCGGAATATGGCATACACACTAACCAATGAGAGCGTGATACGGAAGTACGCAATTGTCAATTGCATCGATTGAACGAACAAGTAAAACTTTATAAATTATTATAATGATTACTGAATCAACAGTACAGTTTATCGAATATATCAATGTATGCAGAAGTCTTACTCACCGACCTCACGTAATAAACTTACTCAATCAATCCAGGATTCATATATTAGTGCTCGACGCACTAACTATATTGGTAATTCAGCGTTACACTAAGAGTCGATTCTCGCAACCAACCAAACCAAGGCTTTCTGTATCACGTTTTCACCTGCGGAATATGTCATATTCACCTGCGGTATATGGCATATTCTGCAAGTGAGTATGGCAAATTTGGTAGGTGAGTATCGGGTATTCACTGAAATCAATGTGTCGCATATTCACTGCGGAATATCGCTTACTCACCTGCGGAATATGCCATATACCGCAGGCTTGTATGACATATTCACCCGTATCACAAATACTAGATATAGTACCGCGCAACCATGAATGTATGCCATATTCCGCGTAACAATATCAGTACCTTTTTAGGTACGGTCTCTATTTTCACATGAATGTAGAATTTAATGGAGGATTCATAATCATATGTCGAGGTTCTGTAAAGAACCTCATCGACCCACACGTGCTACGTGTCCAGGCAATAATGGGTCGAACGCTGTCGGACGCACGTGCTGATAACGCAATGGCACCAACCGCCAAGCTCATTCATCAGTTCAAAGTCATCGTCCCTTCCCAACACCTCTATAGAAACATGCCACTTTGATTCAAGGAGTGTAGCGATGCATCATTATTGATGTTTACACAGATGAATAAAAGATTTTTAAAAAATGCTGTGCGGAAAATAATTACCTCTTACCCCCTATCACACCAAACTAGTTCTTACCCGTTCTTGCCAGTCCTACGAAAACGTCGTTAAACGGGCTCAATCTGGCTGTGGTCGGGAAATATGTTTTAAATAATTAGCTAGTTCGTTCAAGTCGCACCACGTCAGTGTGCAACGTCGTGTAACGCGTCCCTTAGTCTAGAAGGTCATCATGACCTGATTACAGAACGGTATGGTCGCCATCGAATTTTGATTCAAAATTCTAAAATCACCTTCCCGTCTGAGAACATTCATGAAGTTCGTAAATAGACCTTAGAAAGTTGCAGCTACGTTTTTTTTTTTTAGTTAGTTACATACTTTATTGTCAAACTATTATATATAAATTGTACATCAACTGACACTTTAACAAGTGTATGAAGTTGTTTTAGTGACAAAAATGAAAATTCAATAATAACTATATATATTGATAGCATATGTATGCATCTAACCCCCCTATCACACCAAACTAGTTCTTACCCGTTCTTGCCAGTCCTACGAAAACGTCGTAAAACGGGCTCAATCTGGCTGTGGTCGGGAAATATGTCTGAAATAATTAGCTTCTTCGTCCTTAAACAGTCTTCAATACGTCCATCTCGTTCGCAGTTCGTTCAGGTCGCACCACGTCGGTGTACAACGTCGTAGAACGCGTCCCTTAGTCTAGAAGGTCAGCATGACCTGATTACAGAACGGCATGGTCGCCATCGAACTTTGAATCGATTCAAAATTCTAAAATCACATTCCCGTCTGAGAACGTTCATAAAGTTCGTAAATAGACCTTAGAAAATTGCAGCTACGTTCATTTCATTCGCACACAGTTTCAAACCAGTTTTGAAGAACGCAGTGGCAACTTGTTTGGTGTGATAGCTATATTTTTGCTAACTCGTTCATAAGCAGTGTTAAATACGTTCTTAATCAGTTTAAACCCGTTTGCAATTAGTTCTACCTCGTTCTCAACACGTCCTCAGACAGTTCAACTCGTTGTTAAAACGTCCCTAGTAGGATTGAAGTACGACGGTTCCGTTCGTAGTACGACCAGCTCGTCGTTAGTACGTTGTCACTCGTTCTAATTGTAGAACGTGACGACCACGAGTACATTTTGAGCATTGTCTAAATTCTAGAGGACCTACCCGTTCGAGTACGTTCGATGAAGTTTGTAAATAGATCCCAAACGGTTCTTAGTAGGTCCAGTCCCTTCGTACACAGTTGAAGCCCGTTTTCGAGAACGTAGTGAGAACTAGTTTGGTGTGATAGTAGGGTTACTTATGGCTAGTGGTGGTGGGTTGTGGCTGCCAATCCGTTCGCACATAGGGTAAAACCAGTTTTGAAGAACGCAGTGGCAACTTGTTTGGTGTGATAGCTATATTTTTGCTAACTCGTTCATAAGCAATCTTAAATACGTTCTTAATCAGTTTAAACCCGTTTGCAATTAGTTCTACCTCGTTCTCAATACGTCCTCAGATAGTTCAACTCGTTGTTAAAACGTCCCTAGTAGGATTGAAGTACGACGGTTCCGTTCGTAGTACACCCAGCTCGTCGTTAGTACGTTGTCACTCGTTCTAATTGTAGAACGTATCGACCACGTCCGTTCGTACACAATTGAAGCCCGTTTTCGAGAACATAGTGAAAACTAGTTTGGTGTGATAGAAGGGTTGCTGTCGAGGCACTGCATTCGAACTCCAACTGTTTGGACTGTGCAGATGACGCTTTATTACGGAAGTTAAATGAAGGCACCCAGTCGCTACCAGTCAATTTGATAGATTCTAAGAGGATTTTACTTTTTCTAATTGGTTTGATTTCCCTTCTTTAAAAAAGAGATTCACTCAATTAGATAAGCCTTTAATGTAGCCTTAATCAATCAGAATACTAAGATTCGTTGATGAAGGTCAGCTACCCAAACGAAATGGCATTCATTGAATTTTAAAGATAGGCGAATGATGGACGTATCACGAGAAACTCTAATTCAGTACATTGCATTCATGCACTTCCTGGCCTCAGAACGAAACTGTGTATAGCTATTTCTGTTACGCGGAATACGGCATATATTTATGGTTGCGCGGTATTTGCGATACGGGTGATTATGCCATACTCACCTGCGGTATATGGCATAATCCGCAGGTGATTATGCGATAATCCGCAGTGAATATGCGATACATCGATTTCAGTGAATACCCAATACTCACCTGTGGAATATGTCATACTCACTTTCAGAATATGTCATATACCACAGGTGAATATGACATATACCGCAGGTGAAAACGTGATACAGAAAGCCTTGATTTGATTGGTTGCGAGAATCGATTCTAAATGTTAAACTACGCTGGATTACCAAATATAGTTAGTGCGTCGAGTATTAATATATGAATCCTGGGTTGATTGCGTAAGTTTTATTACGTGAGATTGGTGAGTGATACTTCCGCATAAATCAATATATTTGATACACTGTACTGTTGATTCAGTAATCATAATAATAAGTTTTACTTGTTCGTGCAATTACCTAAATGCGAGTAGGTAGTTACCAGTTTCACCACCAGGTGGCTGATTCGGGTCAATTAACATGGCAGGTATATAAGAAAGTTCCCTTAAACTTGAATATTATCAATTCAAGTGGCTCAATTTTCATATAACCCTTATGTGTCTAATACTTATACTAATGAAAATATGTCCAGTAATGCAAAATATTATCTGTCCACTAAAAGAAAAGATATTTCATTTTTTGTGATTTTATAGCATGGGGTCTATGGGGAATCTCCCCGAGCTAGAAGTCACATTTTCAAAGAAAAGTAATTTTTCAAAGTTGATAAACACTTTTTAAAACCACATTTCTAGATGTAATTTTACATGTAGATTTCAAATATGATATTACTTTGACTGAATTTTGAATTTTTAATGACGTAAATCAAGATTATTTCTACTCGCATCTGGGTTATTGACAATTGCGTTCTTCTGTATCACATTCTCATTGGTTCGTGTGTATGCCATATACCGCGTGTGAATCTGCCATACACCGCAAGTGAATATGCCATATTCGTTGCGGAATATGACATATATTTGTATCGTGTTTACCGCGTAACAATTTCTCCCATTCAGAGCTTACTTAAGTTCTTATGTCACCACCAAAAGTGGTGACATATTGGTATACTATATCTAGTATATGATCTCCATTTTTGTGACAGTGGTTAGCATCTGTAACAAATTGTTACAACTTTCAATATCATTTTTTTCAAATTTAATTTCCAAGTTCTCAGAAGTTTCAAACTTTAGATTTGAGATTTGACCTTCAATGACCTTCTTAAGGGGTAGGGTTGGCGTCTGCAACAAATTCTTACAACTTTCAATAATTTAACAAAAACTGTTTAGACTGACTTCAATTTTTTCAAAATGATCTACAAGTTCTCAGAAGTTCAAACCTGACTTTAGATTTGAGATTTGACGTTCACAAAAGTTCAAAAAGGTATTTTTCAACTTGCTTCAAATTGACCATTCTTTCAAAATCATTCTCAGAAAGTTCTCAGAAGTTCAAATCTGACTTCAAATTGAACTCATAATCTTGTGAGCATGTAGGTGGTGACATTTTGACGTGTTGAAAAGGTCAAAAAGATCTTTTTTCAACTTGCTTCAAATTGACCATTTTTTCAAAATCATCTACAATTTCTCAGAATTCGAAGTTCAAATCTGACTTAAGATTGAACCGTGGGCTTTCAATAGATATTGATAATTGAACTCATAATCTTGTGACCAACTATAGTGCTAACACTTTGTCATGTTATACAGCAGTAAAAGCTCAGCATCTTGGAGTTGACCTCTGCAATGTCATTTTAGGGTTTTGACAAGTTTGGGTTCCGCACGATGACTGTAGCGTCTGGGGTCAGTCAAGAAGACATGATGGACTTCTTTCTAAATCACAAGCTTTATCTCCCAGGCACCAGTAAGCAGTCATCACTCCAAGCCATGGACCTCATCACAACACCTCAGCACGTATGTTGAGACCCCTTTACCGCCAGTTGTAGTTGTCCACATGATTTATGGGGGTTTCTGTTGTTTGTTTTTGAGATTTTGTCCTCTTTTTTACTTTAGATTGGATATCTTTGTAAGAACAAATTAATGGGGTTTAAATAACAATTTTAATATGGTTTTCAAATGATTGCTAGTGTCGGATAAAGATCTCATTTTGCTGAAACATATTGATAGGTTCATCGTAGTTAGGAGAAGAATAGATGAGAAATAATATGGATGTTAAACAATAGCACCGGGATCAACTGGAAGGATGTCTTCGTTTCAGCATGGCCGGACTTCCGGTTGATATTAATTTTTGTTTTCTAGATTTTATCATCTTTATCCTTCAAACAACCAAAAATTTTCCCGTATGTAGTGCGTAGGTTCCGATTTTGAAATATGGTTATACCTAAGAAATACATACAGTAATTGGATGATTACACAACAATTCCCCGCTTAAGAAACGAAGATAGTTTCTCAGAGAAACGAAGACAGAACATAGGTATCTGAAGCATAAAACGAAGGTAGCATTTCAATGATATCTGAAAGTACTAAGTAAAGGGGTAATGCAGTCACAAAAAGAGTTCAGTCCCCCCAGACTTCTACAATATGCTTTCAAGTGCATGTGACCCTTCATATTCCTAAGCGAGCGAACTGATTTGTAAATATCGAAATAATTACTTTATCTATATCTGAGATGTAATCATATTTCAAAACCGGGACCTATGCTTTGATGGATATTAAGTTGACAAAAACAAGAAAACAAAAATTCTTACCTAATTCTTCTACAGAAAGTTAGGCCATGCTGAAACGAAGACATCATGTCTTCGTTTCCAGTTGATCCCCAGTGAATAGAAAAATATGCATCCAAAGAAAAATGTATTGTCAATTTTAGGCTAGCTTCCCTGGGCATAAATGTGCATCTGCATACGCGAGCCAAATTCGCTTCGTAGATAGTGGCGGAAGGCTGAGGGTAATATCAGATGAAAACCCAGATGCAATGAGCTTCATGAGGGTATGTACACATTGTTTGCACATGTGCATAAGTTTGTTCATATATAGTTCAGCATAATGTAAGTATGGGTGCATGAAGGTGTCAATGAGGTGAGGTGAGGTGAGGATAATATGTAAAGAATATAAAGTAAGAATATAAAGGTTCATGAGCGTGTATTTAAGTCGAATATAAAATGCTATCTTCCAACAATTTTGCATGGCCTACTAGTCAGATAGTTCACGATCATATATATTATATTCTTAGATTTTTGGAATAAGACTAATATGGACATTCTAAAAATTTTGGTCCGCATTGCCAAGCACGAATCGCACTCCTTCTTTGTGAAAATCCAAGATGGCCGCCAAAATTATCAACAATTATATAATATTCATTTGATAATTTTTTCCATTCCCTTTTCTCGATAAAATGTGGTTAATTAGTGTTTTTCAATTCAATCAGTGTTTTTCATCAATTGATGATATTTCTACCCAGAAAAATAAGTAAATTATCTAAAAAGAAGATTTTGGTTGTTCAGTACCACACATTGTTAAAAGGAGTGGTATCGATATGGAGAACTGAATTCAACAATGATTTTCTCTTAAAACTTGTAGATGATTTTAAAAATAAAAATTGGTCAATTTGAAGCAAGTTGAAAAATACCTTTTTGACTCTGACAAGGGCATTGTAATCTCAAATCTTAAGTCAGATTGCAACTTCTGAGAACTTGTAGATGATTTTGAAAAAAGGAATTGGTCAATTTGAAGCAATTTGAAAAAGACTTTTTTGACCTTGAGAAGGTCAAATATTTTTTTGACTTTTAAAATGTCATTGAAGGTCAAATCTATAGATGTAATCAAAAGCTACGAAAACCAAATTAGTCTCCTGTTTAAAAAGCCCCATTCTTCACTAAATTGGTTAGATTCTAGGTTTGCTCAGTAGCCTAACATATTTCTCCTGCTAACGAGAATGACCAGAATAGTGGCACCAAGAAAATCTTAAAAGATACTTCTGGTGGAATGCGCATCGGTTTCTTTACGAAAACTAAGATTTTACTTCATCATCTAGCTTAGACACATTTTATTTTGCTCGTACAGTACTAGGTTTTTATTTTATCAAGCAAAAGGTAACGGTTAAAAATAGAAAATGGAATTTCATTGCTTCACAAAAACGTTGTATAAACGAACGTTTTGATAATACAAATACAATATTTCAGGATGTCAAAATCCACCTCATTCTAAAATATGTGTCTAAGTTCCATGATGATCACGTACAGAATAAAAAAGTTAGAAACTTTTAAAAAGCTCTTCTTATCAATGCTTTTCTTTAACATTTCTTCGTAGGAGGCGAAGAGGTAATATTAGGGAGTTTAAGCTTGCATGTAAAATCGAAAAGCCAACCTATGTCTTGTACCTTACCGTAACCGAGCATTATACCATATACTACATAGATAGTTTGTGAAGTTAGAACTAAAAAATTCACTGTCAAGTTCACTGTCTAGGATGTAGTTACAGACATTTACATATGAAAATATCTAGAAACTAGATCAGATCTTTCTGAAACGAGGAAAAAATCAGTTTGCTCAAATGTCATCACACTCGTGTTGTACCTACCCTGCGCGTTCACCCGTCACGCTTAATTTGCAATTGGTTCATACTCTGTGACAATAGGACCCGGTCCTTTCACTTTCAAAATTAAATTAATTGAAAGACTTAACAAATATAACATAAACAAGGCGAAAGGAATATATTGCATTAAAATACCTTAAAGGACTGGTATCGATATGGAGAACTTTTTGAACACACGTTTCTCCTTTTTTAGGAATTTTATTGACGTTAATTTTAGTATAATTTCATCAAAAGGCGGCGCTATTAAACAATTTCTTAGGTTTATACTTAATAAAAAAATATTTGGTAGGAATATTATTAAATAATAGCTGAAGACACTAATTTATCAAATTTTATTGAAATAAAGCCAGTAAAAGCAATTATCAATAATAAATACATATTTTACGACGGCGGCCATCTTGAATTTTCTCCATGAAAGAGTGCAATTCGCGCTTGGCAATGCGGATCAATGTTTTTAGAATGTACATATTAGTTTGTGTGCCGAAAATCTAAGAATATATATGATCGTGAACTATCACCATGTTAGAAACCCATTAGTGATTTGACTATCTTGAACGCGTATGGAATTAATACATGTACAGTAGATTTCTTTTTAATTGTCTTAAACATGCAATAGCGCACCTGGTGTATTGTTGATTGTTTTGCAAGCATCTTTATACAAGCTGTCAATATGATCCTCACATCTCATTTTATACCCATGATATCTGTTACAGTGCAACCTAGGGTTAAGTGGGTTGATCTACGATATTACGTTTAGATTGCGACCATTGATACACGTGGAGGTAAATGATGCATTCGATGATGTAGAATCAGTGCTATTGGATACGAATGCGCTGAAGTCGACACTGGCTGAGGGAATGGCTACAGAGATCTACTGGTTCCCATACAACTCGTGCCATTTCGGGAAGGATTGGGAACCAGAGGACGACAAGGTACCCCAGGATTAATATTCCGGTCTGACCGTTTGTTTGATTATTGTGGTAGTTAGCGTCCATTAGTCCTAGTTACCTATCCATTCCCTGTAGCATATGCATTTTACGACCTCGACATACACATCGTACTAGTCCATAGTAATACGAGGGTTGTCCCATAAGTCCTGAACTTATTGTTATAAGACCAAGAGTTTTTATTAATAAAGGCGGAAATTTAATCAGTATTATATTTGGAAATTTTCTGACCAATGTACATAATTTTAAAATATAATGTCTTGTAACAAAAAAAAGTTATGCATGTCCGAACTTGCCTGGTGCAGGGTACCCGGGACACATTCTTTTCTCCTGAAAACGCCACAATTAATATCAAGACAATATTTTCAAAGATGTGACTAACCTTCAAATTTGTTGTATTGTTATAGTTTAGTTTATTTATTTATATATCAGTGTTACAATTCAATCATAAAATATAAAAATTTATAAGTGATACTGTGAAAATGAGTATTGTGACATCACAATATATCAAGATATCATAAGTTGATTGAAGTGATATATTGAGGTTTGTATAAGTGGAAAGCAAGTTTTTATCTCCTCAATGCCAGCGCAATTGCAAATAAACTAAAAATATTGTCTTAATTTTTTTGGACGTTGTTAGGAGAAAAGAATGTGCCCCGGGTACCCTGCATTATACAAGTAACTTTTTTTGTTACATAATATTTTAATTTGAAATTACATTTACTGATCAAATTCAGTGCTCGATTCGATTTCGATTTTACAGGTATGGGTTAAATCCATCTTACCCGCACAATCAACTGAAGAATTAACTGAGAGACAATTGGATTTTGAACAAACATTTACGTTTTATCCTGATCAATTCTCACAGCTGACTCCAGAGGTTCTTGTGGGGGCTACACGCAGGGGCGCCATGATGACGTCACGGATGCTTGACTGCAGGGGAGAAACCACACAGAAAGTTACCGATGCTATCTATTCGTGGCCAGAAAAACATCCATTTCCTTCTCATAGCTTTGGCTTTAGCTTTCCATTAGATGAGGACTTAGATATTGTCAAGGATGTTATTAAAATGCTATGTACACAGTTGAAGAGATTTAACAAGCAGAATAAGTACCCTATAAACCTAATGATCCAAGTTCAGTTCTCGGGAGGGTGCGAGTCATTCCTAGGCCCAGTGACTGGAAATGGGGGAAAGGCACTTCATGTGTATTTGTTGAGTATACTAGGTACAGAGGGTTGGGATGAATTCACTGGAGCACTAGCTGCCGACTGGATGCATGTGACATCAGCTAGGCCATGTTGGGATACAGAATGGTCCACTGTTCCAAATATGCGGACATTCTTACTCAAGGTATTGTATATGCAAGTATAATATTCAGACAAGAATCATAGAAATCACTGGTTTCATACGATTTTTGTTTTTTTCATTTTGTGTTTAGTTCGAATTACTGATTAGAATTTTATCCAAATATGTCCACCAATAAGTTAACTCAAGATGTAGTATATAACTATATATATAAAAGGGTAAAATAGGACATTGGTTCGGATTTATTTATTTTTCAGAATATGAAGAAGGAGCTTACAAAGTTTAAGACTGCAAGAAAAGAACTTGAAATAGACCGACACAACCTTTTTATGAACAATTCAATACAACAACTCTTATATGCAGAATCCTAATTGCAGGAGACATATGCTAAATTAATGTAAATTAATATGTAGACTATGTACGTTGTGGACTATGTAAATGTTTGATATTTGCTCATCAGAGTAGGTTCAATTTGGTGGATTTGTGTGGGTCCTGATGCAATCGGATACCAGCTCTGTCTCATTATCATCCAAAGAAAGGGGTAACTCATCATTATCCCAGCATTTCAATGATAATACAGGAATATTTAAGGCCAAAATATCAAAAAGTATAGCCTACAATTTTGCAGATTAAAGTTCAGATATTAATACAGAAAAGCATCAAGTTAAACAATATGCATTTACATAAAACATAATGAATATAATATATTTTATTGGCTCATAAAGTTAAACTATACATTATTAAGAAATGTGTAGTCATAATAAATATTATATAATCTATAATTCAGTGTTTCTTTTATCAAATGAATCAAAAATGGAAAATGGAATGAAGAGTTTCAAATCCTGACCCAATACAAGAAATCCCATTTACGGTACAATTGCATGTGCATTTCATATTGCACATGATTAATGTGGACATGGCGCTAAGAACAAAGGACCTTTTCAATAGTTGTGCATTACGTCACTATGCAGGCCTACATGGCGTTAGGAACAAAGGACCTTGTTCAATAGTTGTGCATTACGCCACTATGCAGGTCTACATGGCGTTAGGAACAAAGGACCTTGTTCAATAGTTGTGCATTACGTCACTATGCAGGTCTACATGGCGTTAAGAACAAAGGACCTTGTTCAATAGTTGTGCATTACGTCACTATGCAGGTCTACATGGCGTTAAGAACAAAGGACCTTGTTCAATAGTTGTGCATTACGTCACTATGCATGTCTACATAGCGTTAAGAACAAAGGACCTTGTTCAATAGTTGTGCATTACGTCACTATGCAGGTCTACATGGCGTTAAGAACAAAGGACCTTGATCAATAGTTGTGCATTACGTCACTATGCAGGTCTACATGCCAATGTAGCAAGTTTACAAGCAAGATTTCTCAACCTACTTAGTCGACCATAAGACATGTAATGTACATAACCTGACATGTAAAGTACATAACCTGAAAAAATGTGTCACTGTCCAAATATGAATAACTCCAAAGAGAGAGTACATGAAATCTGTGTTGAAAATGACATAACCTTCACCTCAAAGATTCAATCCATATGTAGATTCATTAAGGTCATATGGTATTGATTTCCCCCATTAGATTAACTGGCCTATTTTTGTATTTCTTAGACACATCGCCTTCAATCTGAAATCAAGATAAGACGTTGCTTAAAAATCAGTTTAACATCTACCACTAACAAGAAAGAGGCTTGATTGAGGATTTAGTTGAGTCGGATGTTAATATTTTTATTGTTAGATAAAACACTTTGAATGATGAATATGCTTGACTTCATTGTGAATGAAAATGATACAAAGTAAACTATTTTCTCTCACATTGTGCTATTAAACTATAAATGTATTGCAAATGATGTAAAAACAACACATAATTATTGTTTTCTTACCTGTTTTTTGAGCTGTTTAGTTTTTGATATAATAAGATCTAATTTTGGTTCAGTGGTAGCCTGTTCTTCTATCAGCTCTTCACGTTTAGAGATCATCAACCTCTGGAAAAAGAACTCTTAGAAATAGAGGGTTGTCTCAAAAGAACTGCACCAAATTTAGAGTAAAGTAAAGAGGAATTAAGAAATAGGCTGACCGATCTTATAAAGAACCTGAATGTATAATTTAGGAACTAATAAAAATACAAACTGAAGTTTGGTGGTAGTATTTAGAAGATAAAAATCATTTGACCAACTGGCCTAATAAAAAATTGACATATTAATCTGCCCTACCTGTAGAGCCACCATCTTGTCAGCCTGGCCTAAAGTTTTCTTTAGAGTTTCTGTCAATCTGTCCACATATCTAAAGCATAAAGGATGATGTTTTTTAAACTATTTTTGTGAATTTAACAAGTTGATGAATTTAACAAGTTGATGAAAGGGATTTCAAATTATTCCACGAATGATAAAGCTTTGTAATACAAAGGATTGGTTACTTTGCAGAGTGTAACATTGTACATGTATCTATAAAAAATAACATTTCAACTGACCAATACTTCAATTCTGCACGTAACACTATTCAGCAGGAAATCCAAGGCGCAAATGTGCATCGACGTCATAGCATCCCATAACAAAGTTTTGTCAGCAGACCCAAAAATAAACCACCCATTTTCTAGGGCTCATAACTTTATCAAATCAAAATGAAAATTCATTCTGTTTGAATTTTATTATATAGTAAACTTCTTGAAATTATTTTGCTCAATTTTTCAAAAAATAAAACTGGCAGAAACCCATCTCCTACAGAAATCCAATGAAAAACTCGATAAATGTATGTTTAATAAGCTTCTTTGGCAATTCCTCACCTAGGGGATGATTTAATAAGGTATAACTGCTCTATCCTATGAGTTGTGAGACGTCCTAATATGCCACATACAGAACCCAACATATTCTCTACTTCAGTGACATCTACCTGAAGTGACTGAAATATAATACCTGGTTTAATATATTTTCCACGGCCAACATTACAGTGTTTGTCAGAGGGATTGCAAAATTTTAATAAACTAATTTTTAATACATTAATTGAATATAATTAATAATAAATCATGGTTTGTGAATTCAAGTGAATTTTCTTCTGGCTGCATATCTCATTTTGACACTTCGCTACGTTACACTACACTATACTACACTACACTATGTAGTACCTGTGGGGCTGACTGGAACTGACTGCTAGAGAGGACATCTGCTTCACTTCTCATCTCACAAAGACGCATTGTGAGAAATGCCTCAAGCTGGAAACAAAAATATGCTTTTATTAACAGTTTCATGCTTGGGGCTATGAAGTGTACTCTAAGGTTTTGTATTTAATACTTGGGGCTATGAAGTGTACTCTAAGGTTTTGTATTTAATACTTGGGGCTATGAAGTGTACTCTAAGGTTTTGTATTTAATGCTTGGGGCTATGAAGTGTACTCTAAGGTTTTGTATTTAATACTTGGGGCTATGAAGTGTACTCTAAGGTTTTGTATTTAATACTTGGGGCTATGAAGTGTACTCTAAGGTTTTGTATTTAATGCTTGGGGCTATGAAGTGTACTCTAAGGTTTTGTATTTAATGCTTGGGGCTATGAAGTGTACTCTAAGGTTTTGTATTTAATGCTTGGGGCTATGAAGTGTACTTTAAGGTTTTGTATTTAATGCTTGGGGCTATGAAGTGTACTCTAAGGTTTTGTATTTAATACTTGGGGCTATGAAGTGTACTCTAAGGTTTTGTATTTAATCCTTGGTGCTATGAAGTGTACTCTAAGGTTTTGTATTTAATGCTTGGGGCTATGAAGTGTACTCTAAGGTTTTGTATTTAATTCTTGGGGCTATGAAGTGTACTCTAAGGTTTTGTATTTAATGCTTGGGGCTATGAAGTGTACTCTAAGGTTTTGTATTTAATGCTTGGGGCTATGAAGTGTACTTTAAGGTTTTGTATTTAATGCTTGGGGCTATGAAGTGTACTCTAAGGTTTTGTATTTAATGCTTGGGGCTATGAAGTGTACTCTAAGGTTTTGTATTTACTTTGAACCCTTTCCTCTGCCAGTCTGCTGAAGTCTTTTGATGACAGAGGGGGGATAACCATGTTAAGAAGTATCAAAAAAACTGTTCTGTCTCTAACTGATTTCAAAATAAAATAACTGTTAAAACAATGGTGAACAAGCCCGTAGCTATAAAGAAATGGATGCTTGAGCATGTCAAACAAATCAGTTATTAATTTAATTTTTATATTTTTTTAACAATTTTAATAACAAGAAATATCCCTAAACATTTCAAATCAATCCAGACTAGAAGAGTTACATCCAACCACCAGGCCAGCCACCAAACTGAAGGCAAGTTGGTTTATTTTTTGGGTATGACAATAAAAACAAGTTAATCTGAATCTGAGAATGGAACTATTGAATATAAAGATAGCATAGTACTATGCACCCACCTCTAAAAGTTCATCTATGAACATATTTCTAGTAGTAGTGTTTTCAAAGACTGTCAGTGCATCCATACCCTTAGCAACACCTTCTGTAAAGCATAGACATTCAATATGTAATAACAACTTCAGGTATATTATTCCCAACAATAACACATAGTCTGAGTATTTAAGAATGATATTTCCACTAAGTTGTCCCAAAAGCAAATGTTAGGGGAGGATTTATTAAATATTGTTCTTATGTTAACAAGGCAAGCCTATTAAAAAATTAATAAACTCCAACATGATTTACAGTTGCAAAGAGTAGAAAAGGCAACCAAAATTTTCTGAAATGCCTGTTAGCCTAAAACCTCCTGTTTAAGAGCCTATATTCCAACCAATTAGAATTGAAAATACACATGACCAGTAACATAATTTTACTGATTGAGACTCAGTCAACCATTGTTTTTCTGAGATAATGATATTCCCATGTAAAGTCAGTACATATCCCCAATATTAAAGTGTCTTTCTAAGACTTAGAAGGAGAAATGTGAGATTTCGAGCCATATGTCTCAAGAAAATGCTCTTACCTTTCTAGTAGGATGAGTCCAGGTACCAAAAACAGCTGATCAAAGGATATATATCATTTTCTAATTGAAAATTTTTGTTGAGCCCTGCATTTTTAGCACTGTTTTGACAGGAAGTCATACCCAAAATGAAAACTGAATAAAACAACCTTTATCCTAAATGTAGATCAAAATACTTACTCAGACATGCAAAATGTTATTATTAGTAGTAATGCTGATCATTTTTAAGAAATTTAAGCATGCAAATAAGACTTTTTTCGTCCATGATTATATAGATAAAAATTTCTTCGCTCAGGAAGCTTTGGCAGTTTGGTGTAGTGGTTAGAGCTTTGAGCTCCAACAGACTTTTATTCCAAAAGATCTGGGTTCAAATCCCTCCGGTGGAATATGTTTTTATTCTTTATTTTTGTTTTTTCATTTTGATCCACAATATTTCTAAAATAAATTTTTATATATGGCACCTAAACCATATTTAGTATTTCCAAGGGTTTTAATTTTTAGATGAAATCATAGAAAGTTACTTTAAGTCAATACAATCTTGCTGAAATCCCAATTTTCTCAGAAAAACATTGGTTAACGAAGCCTCAACCAGTAGAAACATGTTACTAGGCAGATCACAAATCAATCTCAATAGGTTAGAATAGGGTTTCTTAAACAAGAGGTTTCATTTGGTTTTCAAAGATTTTGGTTACCTCTATTTAGAGTATAAATGTTAAAACCAATATTTTCAAAAAGTGTCCCCATACCATTCTAATACTCAACATCTTTCTGTTTCACCTGAAACATGCTGATATCATTAGGCATACATGTACTCTGTGATCTGAGCAAATCAGATAGGAAGAGTTATAACTGTCAAATCATGCAATCATTTACCTTAATGTCAATACAGTCATTACATAATAGGCATTGTATTGAACAGCAGATATTAGTACTGGCACAGGTACACAAGTTTTATGATCCCAATTAGATGAAATATGAGCTCGAACTCCAATGCAGTGTCTCGGTATAGACACTGCGGCGGGCCGATGAAGAAATCCCCAAAATCTGGGGAAAATAGTTCCCCTTTTCATCATATATGTGGTCAATTTTCACACAACTTATAAAATATGTATTCATGAATGTTCCCAAAACATTATTTTGTCAAAATATTTCAAAATTATTGAAATATGAGAAGAAATCACCGCGGAAGGAATTCTGAGTAAAAGTTGTGTTGATAATAGTTTACCCCACGTGTTGTTTATTAGTTAATACGCGCAATTCAACCAATGAAATTGTCTAAATTTTACAATCACGCGACCTGAGCATGGGACTAGAACCAATCACGTCAGTTGTTTATTACGAAGTTACCATGCTAACGGTGAGATACCTGCCCGCCGCAGTGATATATCACTGCACGGGAGTTCGATATGAGCTGAGCTGAAAGATCTCAACAATACTCAATATTGGACTCTCTTCTTCGATCACCAAATCTAACTCATTAGATCATGGCATCTCAGGACTGAGATGAAGAAATGAGATGTCATGGTTTATAATGATGTGCCCATACAGAAATGTCATAATTTGTTAAAATTGAAAATGGGAATGTCCACTTAATTAAAGTTCACTATCACCAATGTCTTACCAGTGTCCCCCTCTGGTGTCTCAATAGAGAGGTCCCCATGGCCATCACTAGCGACCTCTATCTCTATATCTCCTGCCCCCCAGTCAATCTCTGCCTCGTCTGTATCACCAAAATCTATTGCACCCTGAAGTAGAGGAAAGTAACTTCATAGTCAGTCTTACAATTCAACAAATAATATGAAAATAACAATATCAATTTTACCCAGCCCACATCAGGCTTATTAACAAAATGAAAATGAATATCAAACTAAAATATCAAAATAAATGTATTGCCTTTCTCAAGCCTGAGAAATACCTAGTACATGTATAAACTGAGCCACAAGACTGTTTAATTTTGAAAAAGCATGTCTGGGTTTGGAGAACGAAGTTCATCAGTCGACTGAGCTTATAATTTTTTCATGAAAAATATGGAAATAACACCCAAATAAAATTATGAATATTCAAAAGACGACATTTAAATCTACAATATGTAAAAATATCAAAATTGTCCAAAGCAGGTTACCTGCATTGGACTGCTGATGAACTTTGTTCTCCAAACTGAGACTAGTCTTTTAATGTTGAATACTTATCTACTTCATAGACTTTACATAAATGCGCAATTTTGGCTTAGATTTTATTGATACTTTCCTTTCAGGCAAATAGTTTTACAATAGAGATGTTTCTTATAATTTAAGATTGACAAATGGTTCAAAAATGAAATCCTGTTCCGTATTTTGCATGGTTGAACCAAAGAGCCTAGTGCTCAACTAGCAGTCACCCAAAGTTGTGTGTCCACCTACAACTTTGGCATTGTTGTTACTCACCAATGGTAATGAAATAAATATATAAACAGAAATCATATAATAAAAAGTTCTGAGGGTCTCAAAAATGGCATCACCATCTGCGGTGGTATGTTGAATGTGTTGTCACTACTACTGCCAGTTACTTACCTCCCCAAAGTCTATAGTAGCAGGTGTATCTTCTGTACCAATAGTTCCCCAATCAATCTACAATAACACTTTGTGTAGAAATTCATCCATCTCTCCTTACTCAATGAGTTGAGCAACCCATTTCCACTGTACGAGTATTCTTGAATATTTAAGAGAGCATGATATATCTAATATATTAACAAATAGAGAAGTGTCAGCAACTGTTCCTACATAACTTATACTAGCATTGAAATTGGTTTGTAAAGACACATCAGCTGCTATACTATTTTTACTTTTGAGGAAAAACAAGTGTCCTTATTTGGACTTTCTCTATGAATTTCAAACTTAGACTAGCTTATTTAACATACCTCCTCATTTACTGGTTCCTCTTCTTCCTCTAGGTTAAAGTCTATGTGAGGCTGAATGATAGACTTTGGGGTCTTCCCAGTCCTCCACTCGTATGTTGTAGCATTGCCCTTAGTCATGATGAACTTGGTCACTGGTGTAACAGATTCACTTTGCTCCTTGCTGTATGGGTGTAATAAAGTAGTTATGAACAAGAGTGTTCTTTCAATCTGAGATATGAGGCCCCAAAAACACAATAATGTATGTAAGACAAAAAATGCTCGAGTTAAGTGGTAAGATGGCAATTTTAACTTTCCATAGAGTTCAAACCTCCAATAATCATTTGCAAATAAATACAAAAATCAATAAATCTAACCAGCAAGAGATGGCCATGTCTATCATATTTCATCTTTGTGCAAAAGTGGCGATTATGAGTAAAGTATATCTACCTTATTGTAAACTGGACAAAGTCAGAGTAGAATTTTACACTGGGGTCTAAATCTTGGCCTGATCTGGCAATCTCCTCAAACACAATGGGAAGGTCCTGCACCAGGGCGACCAACTCATGCTTGATCTTTTTACCCTGAAAATCCAATCAAATTTCAATTAATTAAAGAAGTTTATGATGATTTGTGAGTGTGTCTTCTTAAATATGGAATGAATAAATGTGAAGAGATTACTCATATTATCAATAAACTGTTAAGAAAAGCAGTAAACTGTGCATATAATCAAGTTTGAGAAAGATTTGCTTCCAAGCATAATGCATCATTTGTTTGTTACAAACACATTATCTAATCTATACTTTATTATTCAAACCATTAAGGCATAATATAGACTGAGAAATTGCTCCAAAGTACAATGTTGAGTTCTAATTTTCAAGTACCTCTATTCCCATCTGCTTGCAATCTGTCTGGAACTTTTCCCTCATCTCTGCTGCTGTACTAGTGTACTCTCCCTGTTTCCTGGTACATTCCTGGTAAAGAAAATACATGTACATATACACATCTCTGCTGCTGTACTGGTGTACTCTCCTCACTTCCTGGTACGTTCCTGGCAAAGAAAATACATGTACATATACATATCTCTGCTGCTGTACTGGTGTACTCTCCCTGTATCCTGGTACATTCATGGCAAAGAATATACATGTACATATACACATCTCTGCTGCTGTACTGGTGTACTCTCCTCACTTCCTGGTACATTCCAGGCAAAGAAAATACATGTACATATACACATCTCTGCTGCTGTACTGGTGTACTCTCCTCACTTCCTGGTACATTCCAGGCAAAGAAAATACATGTACATATACACATCTCTGCTGCTGTAGTGGTGATCTCTCCCTGTATCCTGGTACATTCATGGCAAAGAATATACATGTACATGTAAATCACCTTGGAAGTCATTGTTACATTACTTGTCTTTTGCACATTCATGTACATGTTAACATCACTTTGGAAGTCATTATCCCAACGAACAAAGTGTGAGGGGGATATAGAAAAGCCATCTGTCCATCGGTTCATCAGTCAGTCCGTCTCAAATACCGGTTGACGGATTTGAATCAAATTTTATAGGCTTATGCCTTATGGGGGTAGAACCTCTGCTCGAGAGGGAATTTTCAATATGGTAGCTTAATTCAAAATGGCCACCATTTTTCGGAAAAAATATACTCTTTGATAACTCAAATACTAGTTGACGGATTTGGTTCAAATTTTATGTTCAAATTATTTTCAAGATGATAGCTGATTTTTAAAATGGCCGCCACTTTTCGTAAAAAATGTTATCTTATATAACTCAAATAGCAGTAAATGGATTTTGTTCAAATTTTATATGCTGATGCCTAGGGACACATAGTAGCTCTGTTCGAGAGAGTTTCAAATGGCAGCTTAATTTCAAAATGGCTGCCATTTTTCGTAAAAAGGGAATGTAATCTTTGATAACTGAAATGCTAATTTATGGATATAGTTTACATTTGATATTTTGATGCTTAGGGACAAACAAGCTCTGCTCAAGAAGGAATTTTCAAGATGCCCACTAGTAATCAAAATTTGTTTTGTTCGGTGGGATTTGCTACTCCGTGGAGTTGCTGTTTTTTTAGTTGTTACATTCCTTGTCCTTTGCACATTCATGTACATCTACTTGTCTCTTGAGATCATTGATATGCTACATTGTTCATGTAACTTTAATTTATACTAAAGGATTGGTATCGATATGGTGAACTGAAGTCAACAATGTTTTTCTCTTAAACAAATTATTGAAAACATTCTGTAAAAAAACACGGTCCTTTATGTAATTTTGACTGATTGACAACAATTTAATGCGAAAATTGTTTATATATATTTTATATAACTGTTTTTGTTAACATTTTTTGTTTTTTAGAGCAATTGTTTTTTGTTCCTTTTTACCAATTCTTGAGAATGAAATAAAATATCTTTCCGAACCTTGTTGGAACAAAATAGCTTATACAACATTTTCTTAGACCTCTCAATATTATAGTTATACAAAGGAAATTTTGGACGATTTAGCAAAATGTATTCAAAATATTAAAACAAAACTGATAAAATTTGATTTAAAATTGATAAAAATTAAGAAATTTTTTTTTTATTTCATTAACAAGATACTTTTTTTAAATCAACCAAACTTTCCTTTGTACAATTACAATATTGAGAGACCTGAACACATTGTGTTTAAGTCATTTTGTTTCAATGAGGTTCAGATAGATGTTTCATTTCATTCTGAAGATATGATACCAAGAACAAAAGAAGTGTCTGATGTGTTTTCTAAATCAATATAGAGAAAAGTATATATAATTATTTCAAATTATATTGTTACCATTCAAAAGATGACCATTAAATTGATGATGTGTAAAATTTTCAGAATTTTTTGATAACTGGTTTAAGAGAAATGTGTGTGAAAAAGCCCAGCAAATGGAAGCAATATTTCTACAGCTTTTTTCCTAATCTAGACTCGGAGACAATATTTCATTCAAAATTTCCCGATGACAAGTTAGCCAGGTTACCCCCTTTCTACTATAATATCATGGAAACCTGGAAATTATTACATAATAAAGAGCCCTATAATAAAGAACTTGCTTTAAAAGAGTATATCTGGAATAATGAGTTCATAAAAATTAATGACAAAACCCTAAATTATGCAAGCTGGATAAGTAAAGGAATCCTTCAAATAAAAGATCTCGTTAACAATAATGAATTCTTAGGTTTCGAAGATTTCTCTTTAAAATATAATATTAATACACCTTTCGTTACTTTCTATGGCTTAATTCATGCAATTCCACATTCCTGGAAACAACGTATTAAAAACAATCGAAGCAACAAGGCACTTAAAGACGAAGAACTCCAAATCAAAAACACGACAATAAACGTCAAATCTATAAAAACTAAAACCATATATTGGATTCTCGTAGATAATTTATTTAAAGAACCCAACGGGAAAAAATATCTAAATTCAAAATTCAACTTTACAGAAGAAGATTGGAAACACATTTTTACATTACCTTTTAAGACGGTTCGAGAACCGAGAATACAATGCCTTCAATACAAACTTGTTTTAAACGTTACACCAAATAACCAATTTTTAACTCGAAAGAAAATAAAAAATTCAAATTTATGCGACTTTTGTAAAAACGATAAAATAGATGATACGATACACTTCTTCATAGAGTGCCCAAACTCTGCCAAGATTTGGGATGACTTTAAAACATTTTTCAATATTGATCTTACAATTAAAGACATAATTGTCGGGAAATTAGATCAAGAACGCGACCACACTTCAAAAGCAATTAATTTTTGCATATTGTATATAAAAAGCTTAATACATAAATCAAGACTCGTTAATACTAAAATAACATTTATGCAAATAAAAGAAATCATAAAATACAAAATCAATGACGAACGAAATATTGCAAACTTAAATGGCACACTGGAAAGTTTCGGCGAGACTTGGAGATGGATTATAGATAGATTAAACCAACAGCATTGAATTTTTTGTTTTATTTTATACCCTTTTATATTAAAATATTGTCAGCCCAATACGATTGAAAGATAATCTTATTGCATGTATTGTATTTTCAAATGGTACCCTTTTAAATTAAGTTAAATTAAATACTCTGAATGGAGATGGTCTGAAAAGCTTAAAAACGTATAACTGTTAAATATTAATATGTAATAATATTATTGAATATTCAATGTATATGGATTTGATCTGTATGTATATTATGTATAATGTTTTGTGTAAGAAAGATGCAATAAAAAAAAAATATATATATATAAAAAAAAAAGTGTTCAGTACCCATCCTTTATGTGATTTATTTAATATTATTTCATTATTTTATATTATATGTATACTTATATATTACGCTTACAGTTTGTCCCTGTTTGCATTTTGTAATCTGACGCTTCAGTGCAGGCACCTCATAGTTTACATTACGCGTTAACAGTTGTGCAGCCTCCGCTGAAATAGAACACAATGCTGCAATTGATTCAAAAACTTCAAGACAAGTGTTATATTTGAGAATGCTCATTCTTAGAGAGTTGCTTTTAACATCAGGGATTTCACGAGAATTTCTCACAACAGGCTAAGTAAATGGAAACAACAGGCAAAATTAATGGAAATCATAAATTTAACATGGAAAAGTTGAAAAGTCCCTAAAACAACAGGCGATTTTGTGAAAACAACTGGCGAAATGATGCCTGTTGCCTGCTGTTAATGAAATCCCTGAACATGGTAGCCATGGTAGGGGAAGATACATTTGGGACATGTCAAATGTCCACTGTACAGTGATCTTGATTTTATAGGGTGTTCAAGTTCAGAGGGTTGATCACTAACATTAGAACATGACATTATATGCATTTTGAAGAAATATAATTCCTCAATGAATATTAATATTTCTATTGACCACATAGCTTCATGGCATTCCAAAATCTGAATCAAATGAATTAAGTCATGCTAGAAGACCAATTAAGATGGAGACCATTTGATTTTTTTCAAAAGTTTTGATAACAAATCAGTGTTAAATTGAAAAGATTTGAGCAATCTTGTAAGAAATGTGATGTTTTGTGAAACGTATTTAGATTAGACAGGTTAATTATTCAAATATGACTGTTCACTGTTCAAATTGAGAGGTCCTCACATTTCAAGGTTTTTAACATGGGAGTCAAAGAGAGGAAAAATGGGACTGAAAAAAAGTGTTCGGATTGGAAGGTGTTCGGATTATCAACAAGGTGTTCTGATATACAGGTTTCACTGTATTTGCTAAAGTAAATTTAAAAAAAAACTTACCTAGTCCAACATTTTCTGTCTCATAAAGTTTTAAAATTTCTAACCAATCCTAAAAATGAGATATGAAATAAGCCATTACCGGCCATGTATATAATAGATATAACATCTGTTGGTTTGAATTTTAGATTTAAAAAAGAAAATGCATTTTCAAATGCCAGATAAATGAAAATATCATCCTTACAAAAAATGTACAAGCCAATGCAGTTGTATATGTAGATCAGTTTCTTCAGATAAATAGGATACTATCACCCTACCTTCATTCGTTTAGATGAGTAACCACCAAATATGTTCTTGCTAGCTTTCTCGGTCTCTCTCAGCAGCTCTACTATCCTAATACAGTGGAAATAGTTGATGTCTGCAAGTACAATACAGTGTTCATAGAAATTGAATGGTCTCCTCATCTTAGCCTGTTTCTCGATTTCTAAAAGGCTCATCTCCCAATTTCAAAATTGCTCTCATTTTCAAAATATACAAAGTAATTCCAGAAAGTAACATAAAATATAAAACAAAGAAAATTAAAGTTTGTTTTTAATGTCCTTTTATGACATTATGATGCACTCATTATATCACATATTGTAGTACATGTATGTATACATTTTGTATAAACCTTAACTTACATGTTCCTGAGAGCATTTTAGTGATCTCCTCTACTTCTGGCATATCTTGTATTGCATTGTTGATCTTCTCACGTATAGTCAACACTGTGGCCTGCCAGGTCTGCGAACAGTGTCGTCTGTTTATGAGCCAGTCTGTGATCAAATATCAAATGCATGATTAGTAATGTACCTATATACATGTATGTGTCACTATTAAATCTTGAAGAATCTAACCTTTTTAACATATTTAGGACTGCAAAAATGGTCTACCCTTTGTATTATTTTGACTTCACTTCTTAAAAGAGAGCTTCATCTACATTAGTTTAGACTCTCAGTTCAGGGTAGGTTTAACAATATACATGTATATGTAAGTTCATTTGTTTAGGACTTTGTAGAAAAACAAAAAGTATCATGTTTTGATAGTTATACATGTGACATTGATCAATGATATATATAAGCCTATTATACCTAATTTAATCAATTGTCCATTTTGCGGTTCGCTCTTTGAATCGGAATATTTGCAAATATGGAGCAAATATGTACTCAAAAAGGACTAAATTTGATTGGTCAATATTTTCCCACGATGCATTTTGCGTAGCTATTTGCATGACCCGAAAGTTCTAAATCAAACTAATTAAGCAAATTTGTTTTTACACCCGCACGCTAAATAAAACAATGACACCATCGTAAGTATTCTTCTCTGTCATTGCTTTAATAGTCAGTATACTGAGTTTAATCAATAAAAGATTGTACAATAAACAACAAAATTCGGAAACGAGTACCATAGATTTGCTTTCGAACCACTGAACAGATTGACCTAGATAATAGCGACGCATCTTCTTTGGTCAACTACTTAGTTGTCTGTGGGTCTTCAACGTAACTCTATAATGTAATTGAAAGATGAGTACTTTTATTCAGTTGTTGCATCGATGTTGCAGTTTGTAGTGCGGTAAGATTGGCATGAAAGTGTTGAAAGTCGAATGGAATTGTTTTTTTCCAATATGGCAACTAGTCAACTGGTCACGTGACTTTCTCTTCCGGAATATTTTCTCACTTTCAATCATAGTTTTCACCACGCTAAGAACAAATATAATTAAAAAAATATCTGTTTTATTGAGATAAATAAGAGATCAATCGTTTCTGATAATTATTTCTGTGCTCTCGTATGAGAATATGAATGAATATATCGTTTGAAAAATAGGTGTGAAAATCCCCATGTTAAACCTATGTATGGGGGAAAACAAGGCAGTATAAATTTGTTCCTCCGCGAACTGCATCGTGGGAAATATTTTGACCTTATAAGGAAAGATTTTCGCGTCCCTTCTTTTGAAGAGGGAACAACGATCTGCTCAATTAGTTGGACTCTCTAAAAATGTTGGAAGTTATCTTTCTAAAAACCATGCCAGTGTTTGCCAACTTTTGCCTTTCGCGAGTTTTGGAAAATTCGCGAAATATGATAGTCGCAAAATTCCTCCAGTTTTAATTCGCGAAATTTGAAAATCATTGGGTGAAGGAACAACCATGGCTGATATCAAAGTCAAAAAGAGTGATCTTGTATGACAAATCCGCGGAGATTAATAGCCGCGAAATTCGATTCGATTCGATCAAATTGAAAATTAGCCCTTTTTACTTACCTAACAGTTTATTATAGTGGATATCAATTGGCAAATTGTCCAGCTGGTCCTGTGTCATATTACCCTGGAGATGAATAAGAAAATACATGTTCCATGCTCTTATCCTCTTCAATGACCTCTTCTTTTTGGAATGAGATTACAACAAATAGAGATCACAACAAACATGCATTGTTTTTGTTCAAAAACTTTGTTCAACTGGCAATGATTCAACAAAAATTGATTAGAATTTAAAAAACATAGATGGCATTACAGTCATTCCTCCTATTAAAAACCATTTACACATATAAATAATCATTTGACATTACTTAATACACTTAACAACATGGTGACGGTTGTGCCAGGCATAAGTCTTGCAACAGATAGGGCCTCGTTATTTTTCAGAATTAACTTGGCACTGAGGCATCAAAATATAAGGTAACAGACTCTATAAGCCAATTCACAAGCAATCCAAGATATACAATGTCATTTGTGTGCAATATGAATACATTTTTCAATATGTTATTGCACAATAGTCTTTAGAATTTTTTTTAGGTTCAACTGGTTGCTTAATATTTTGAAGCAGTGTAACAGACGATGTATCATACACCTACAAAGAAACAAACTGTTTTAAGTACTTCTTTTTCTATACGATGAACAAATCAAATGTCACATGAGTTGTATTTTCACTGCATACAGTGACAAAATATATGGGTGTACACCTTAGATGTAAGTTGTCATATATTAACGATTTGAAGGAAAAACTGTGATGTAGGTTTTAGAAGATTTATTTGAGGAAGATGATGAAGTATTTCATATATAATTTCTTGTGCATGCTCTTGGCAAGACTTTGAACTTTCCAATTATGATAACAGATTCTCGAATAGTGCTCGAGTTTTTTCTAGGTAATCTCACCCACATAATTGACCGATTGGAAAATGTTGGTTCAACATTTTCGTTAATGATTTCCCCCCTAGCATCTTAGAGTGTCCATTATTTTTATAAGAATATGCTTCTGTAAACTACACAATTTAGGACAGATGAAGATTTAATAATTATTCATGTTTTGGCAATAATTTTTAAAAATCAGAATTGTACTTTGTCAACTCGAGTGTACTTTTACACAGTGATATTCAGATCTTAATTTATATTCAATTAAACAGCAAACCATATGTTATAATGTACATGTAACTAACAAATATATTTGAAGATACGATTATAATTATAATTAGACATTTTTACTGTTATATTATGTCCGCTACTTACAAGTAATCCACAAAATTGTCCCAGATATGATAATTTTAATTTTGCCTTTTCTCTTTTATTTAACCTGACATTTGTCCCCTTTCTAGGAGCGATTATAATGGATCATCTTGGCACCTTATATTTATTTAAGCATAATGTGAGACTTATAAACGACTTTTGCCGAGTTAGACCATTTAGGCAGTTTGAATCTCATTCTCTGTATTCCTCCATTGCAAACTTCGAAATTCCCCCATACTGACAATGTACACCTAAAGTGTACATCCATATATTTTGTCACTGTACGTTGTCGATGGTTGGGCGTGATTGTGCCTGAGCTGTTCAGTAAATCAAAATATATTTAGAATCAAATCATTTATTCTAGTGATTAGTTCCGATGGTTAAAATAACGAAATGATGTAGTGTTACCATGTGTCTACTTACCAGTTTGTTCTATGCCATCCATCATGCTAGGTTACATCCAGGAACGCAGCCAAACACGAGAATGAGGCAACAACATATCGATATTGATCTTAGCAGAATTATTGGAAATTTAGATCGTCCATTTTGCAAGCTCACGTGACTGATCACGTGACACGTGTCTGATCACGTGACTAGTTACTGTAAAGATCATGTGACTTAATGACGTGTCACCCAACCATGTCTTCAAGGAAAACAGTAGTAAATATTTTAGAAAATGTTTTGCAAGCATTTGCTACTGATTATAGAAGGCCCAATTACGCGACGAACGAAACTGCTAAATTGTATTTCGTGCCTAACAAGCCCAGTACGCAACGAACGAAACTGCTTAATTGTATTTTTAGTCTGGTTATTGATCTATTGATTCATAAAGACCTGAAATGATGCATTCAAATAAGACCGCCTCCTAAATGAAAATTCTACACATAAAGTGGTGAAAAACAACGAACTAAAGTTGAAAGATCGCAACATTCGCTACTTTGTTCAATTCCGGAAATCTCCAAGGGGTGGCAAATGGAAATTTTTTAGATTTAGATTTTATTACCTCAGAATACTGCCTTCAGTGTCGTGTTTTGCTGAGTTCCACAATGTAACCTGGCACGATGGATGACATAGAACAAACTGGTAAGTAGACACATGTTACTTACTGCGAAAGCTATGTGGATTTTGATATAGTAGCTTTCCCACGGCGCACTTGGGCAGCTGAATAATACATAGTGACCCTTGAAACACGAATTGAGTCGATCAGCGTCGATCAGTGGCTTACTTTTGGTCTCTAACTGTGTCTTCCATCGGTATCATCAATCCGTGCAAGTATTGGGGCGCTGAAATACTTCTTTTTCGATCAAGACTTGTAAATTCTTCATCGAGTGAATGCTTTTTTCGATCCATTTCCAATATGGCGGTTTGCTAGGAGCGAGATACGCAACGAACGAAATGAATTTTGAGAATGAGTTAGGTTCGGACAACCTCCGGAGATTTACGAAAATGTCCGAGCAGAAAATGCCATATTGGAATTTGGCAGAAAAAAACACTCACTCGACTAACAAAACAAGTCTTGATCGAAAAGGAAGTACTTCAGCGCTCCAATACTTGCACGGAAGGATGATAATGATGTATGACATAGTCAGAGAACAAAGGTAAGGCGCTGATCGACGCTGATCGACAAAATTCGTGTTTATTGTTCAGCTGTCCATGTCCCCGTTCGAGAGCCATAAGTTTCAAAATCGAACATGGCTCTTGAAGTGAGTAAGACACATGGTAATATCGGTATGGTCACCAGAATAAATGTATAAGAGGCCACACATTTTATAAGCCAAATTACAAGCAATCAAAGATGCACAAATGTCATTAGCATGAATATATTTTCTATTCACAACACTTACAGCACAGTGGTCTTTTGCATTTGAAATTCTATCAATTTCTTCTTGTTTTTCATAAGTTTTTTACTTTTTCAAAAGGACGATTCTCGGTTTGGAGAATGAAGATCATCAATCTAAATGACCATTATCCCTGCTTCGGACAAAATTGACTTTTTTACATAATATAGATTTAAATGTCTTCTTTTGAATAGTCATAATTTAATTTGGGTAATATTTCTAGATTTTTCGCAAAAAAATATTAGCGCAGTACACTGATGAACTTCTTTCCCCAAATCGAGACTCGTATTTTATTGAATCGGTCTAATTGAGCATTATCCCTGCTTCAGACCAATTTGTTATTTTTACATCTTGTAGATTTAAATGTCCTCTTTTGAATATTCATAGTTTAATTTGGGCAATATTTCTATATTTTTCATGAAAAAAATTATTAGCCCAGGAGACTGTTCTCCAAACCGAGAATCGTCCTTTATGAAAATAAAACATTGAAGATGAAATGGACTTTAGTCCATAATAATGTGTAGTAATGCTTATATGGTCTATATACACTTTAAAATAACAAATATATATGGATACATATTAGTTATATGAATATATATTTACCTGCATTTTGATGCAAAATATGGTAAAAATCTGGAGCCACGAATATTTTTTTCTATTATCGCCCAAATTTTATTTCCTCCTTTTCGAAGACCTCCAATACAAAGGTGAAGATATTTCTTCAAGAGTTTATTATATTCATCAATGAATCAACAAAAGCTGAATGTTTGAAAGTGACAACCATTTAGTCGTGTGCATTATATATTAAATTTAATTTCTGAGTCACCTGTAAAGGTATTTCCCCATATTTGTCTAGATGTGTAGATTGTTATTGTAATTTATCAAATCCGGAAGTGTCTGTTATTGTGCACATCCGAGAATCATAGAAGTTCTACTTTTGTCCTTCTAAATACGTACATTCAACATTTGCTACATATATACATTGATATAAGCTCAACATGTCTACACATCAATGATCTGCAAAAAATCTGAATGTATTAGTTTTCTATAGTCTTGACCCATGTCCCCTCTCCATTAGTATTCACCTCCGTGTTTGAGGGAGGAGGGGGTTGAGGGGTCTGATGTAAGACTAAATATGCACATATAAATGCTAAGTTTGTTTACTATTTAGAATACCATCACAGGCAGGTCTTTGATCACAACATGAACATGGAACAACCCCTGTTGGCAGAAACGGCTCGTTATGCCATGTCCACAGCAGGAATTGTAGCAACAATGGTCATATGTGTTGTAATTGTCTGTAGCAAGCTTTATAACAGACCTCACCTTCCAAAGGGACCTGGCTACCTTGAACTTATAAATACGTTTATAGCTCTGGGCAAAGGAACACACATGCATGAGGTGTGTATCTTCAGATATGAGAATAAAAAACTGCAATAATAGTCTTAAGTGATTTATCAAGAAGTTTATGTGTGTATAAAAGTACATGTACAGTATATTACATTCATCGATATATGATGAGGTTATATAATGGTCGATTCTGTATATATATATATGTATTACATACCTAGCGAAGCATTTGTATGGAAGTCAATGGGAAAGTTAGCGAGCTATATCCACCGATATTGCCCGATTACCCTGATATAGCCCGCTTACCTCGTTTTGATATTAGATTTCTTTAATAACCATGATAATATCATGGCGTCACGTCATTGATACAAAGTAACCATGGGAACAAAGGCATGTAATACATCAGTTATGTCACTATGACGTGAAATATGCCTTCGTTCTTGCCCAAATATAGAGCCTCCCAAGGTCGGCCTATATTGGGAGAACTCAGGCATATTTCACGTCATAGTGACATAACCTCTAAATATATCATGTTTATACTCAAGTGAGCTATATGATATATTCACGAGTGAATATATCATATACTTACGAGAGTATAACGATATACAGAATCAACCATTATATTATCTTATTATCCCACCCTAATCTTTGATAGATAAAAGGTTAATCTAAATTCAGCAGTTGTTTATATCATTGATATATCAAGTCGAAGAGTTGTATACGCTGCCCAGGAGTTGTATACGCTATCCAGGAGTTGTATATCATTCTCAAGAGTCTTATACGATGAGTGTTGGATTTTTATTACAGTTATACAATGCTATAATACAATCATATAAAGCACTTAGGGTGGGATAATGTCACATACATCCATCACAAACTTGAATGCATCTACTATAATAGCCATGACATCAATGGAGGTTCGATATGTATTATAGGTTGTAAGAGGCTTCAACAAGGTATATGGGGATGTTTTCACACTAGCTATGGGTCAAACTTCAATAGTGATGGTCTCATCAAAGGATGGACTGAAGGAGGGTATGCTAACCAAAGGTCTAGACTTTGCAGATAGACCAAACCTTTATGCTGCTAACCTCAACTATGGCGGAGACCGCAATAATGGTAATGTAAAATGACAAATATAATTAGATTAGGGTTTGTAACGGTTTGGGCTCTTATCACTGTCTTTGGATTGCGTCACAGTATGATTAAGGCAACACATTTGTGAAATACATTTTCATTTTCATTGGTAAACTGAATTGACAGATAAAAAATATATTGAGATCATAATTATGTCCAGTACACTTTGCCTACAATTTGATTTTTGGAAACTCATACTGGTATTCTTTTTACGTGATTTGTCCCAGTTACAACTACTGGGAAAAATAGTTTCTGGCAATAATTATGCAAGATAAATCAAAAGCAGATCCTACATGGTGTGGTAGGTGGAAAGTGGAAACCCAACTACTGTAGGTGGGAGCGCAAAAGACGATGCAGTCCCTTTCAGCAATAGGTTTGATAAACATAAGAAATCCTTTGAATGCAGGGCTACAAGAATAACCTTTTCCTCTGAAGTCCTGTATTCAGAAGGTTGACAATATTACTTCTTATATAATATTATATAATATGAATGTGTTGTTGCAGGTATATTCATCAGTGATTACAACACAAAGTGTAAGCTAAAGCGCAAACTGTTCCTTTCTGCCCTGAGACTAAGGGGGGAAATGCAAGTTGTCCTGGAGCAGAAGATACTACAAGAAACCCTCAATGTCCTACAGAGCTTCAAGCAGCAGCCAAAAGTTGGCTTTGACCCCAAAGAAATTGTTATGTGCAGCGTCATGAATATCACATTCCATATTTTGTTTAATAAACATTATACTCCTGATGACAAAGAATTCTTGACAATAATGCATAATGTTGACACAAGATTCCGTGCTTATGTCACCTTGCTGTATTTGGACCTGTTCCCTGTATTAAGACTTCTACCTCATAAAAATAGAAAAACAATTGAAGATTGCAACAACTGGTTATTGGAACTAGTACAAAGGTTCATAGATGAGCACAGATCAACATTGGAAGATGTAACAAAACCTCGTGATGTCATAGATAAGGTCTTGATTGAACAGGAAGAAGACAATGACGGTCAACTACTGAGTGATAAAGATCTCCAGTGGTCATTTGTTAATGTGATAACTGCAGGGTTTGACACTACTGGCCTCACTACATTGTGGGGACTTGCCCTACTAGCTAAGAACCCTAACATACAGGTGAGGCTAATATTGAACTGGATATTTTAAAATTGCAATTATCCCACCACAGAAGTTCAAGAGGGATAGACAGAACCCTTCTTCCATCTGTTCATTCATCCATCTGTTCGTTCATTACATCTTTCTTGATGAGAAAAATACAAGCAACACTTCAAAATGGCTACCATGCACGCAGAGTCTAGTTAAACTACACTCCGCCTAGTAGAGACCATATTACAGTTTAGTAGCCCCGCCCACACAACGGGTACCGGTGACAGTTTGTGTAATAAATCACTTCTGACCTACGCTCTGACCTTTCTTCCATCAGTCAGCAAGCTTGAAGAAACACACGCCAAATGCGTGCTAATTAAATATGCGCATGTCATTGGTCAATTCCGAGCTCAACAATGACGTCAGAAGGAATGACCATATATAGAACGTCGGTCAAATTTGGCCGACGAACACTGATTGGCGCAGTGAGTTCACAGGTTTATTTTAGTTTGAAAGAGTGAAGACGAAGCTCTCTTTTAAGAAGTGAAGTCAAACGAATGCAAAAGGTACAAAATGGCCCCCATTTTTCTGAAGAAATAGAATTTTTCTGAGTAATTGTATCTCGGCTAACTAGACAACAGCAACACCAAAGCATAGCAAAGCCCATCGCTGGCATTTTTACAAACAACTTATAGCAATTTATATTTAAAATAATGAGTATTCACATATGAACAAAATCGCTCTAGTACTTTTTTTAGTTATCGTAAAAAATGTAAAATAACACAGTAAAATGGTGGCCATTTTCAAAAAGGGCCAGCTACTCTCAAAAGTGTTATTAGACAACGTGCCATGCTTATAGTATTCACTTTTCGAGTTATAGTAAAAAATATAAAAATGGCAGTCATTTTTCAAAATGGCCACCTACTCCCACCTACTCACCTAAGTGTCGTTATGCAAGACTCACGAGTATTCACATATCAAATATGAACAAAATCGCTTCACTATTTCAAGTTAAAGTATAATACGTAAAAACGGTTGCCATTTTAAAAAATGGCCGCCAACTACCAAAAGTGTCATTAGACAGTGCACCATGCTTATAGTATTCACATATCAAATATGAACAAAATCGCTCCACTACTTTTCAAGTTACAGTAAAAATCGTAAAATGACGTGTAAAGGCAGCCATTTTCAAGATGGCTGCCATGTATTTCTTTAATACCTACTTTTCTAGCTTAATAATTAATGTCCTATATAACTTTTTACATTTAACCATATTGCTATTACAGTTTTATAAACAGTACCTAAATTACTGTAAAATCGGCACTAAAATGGCTGCCATTTTTAAACGAGCAGCCATTTTGAAAATTGATTTTTAAGCAGAACAATTGTACTCCCATAGGGCACATTTGTACAAAATATAAACGAAATCCGGCAAACAGTATTTGAGTTATCGCCTGGACGGATGGACCAACGTATGGATGTAAAGATGGATGTACGGATGGAGGCCTTCCCTATATCTGTCCGAACTTTGTTCGATGGGATAATGAGTTTCAGTCATAGGATCTCTTCTCAAAAAAGAATTTATAATTCTCACTTTGGTGTAGATTTTGCCAAAAAGAGATGATTCTTTAGCCTGGTCATTTCTCATGCTTTGTTTGTTGCAATTTGCTACTCCATATCTGTTCTAGTTTTGTTATATTTAATGAGTACTCTGAATTATGGAATTAAATATAAATGTTGAAGAGTTCTTACCCTTGCCAATGACCTGTTAATAGATAATGAGTTTGTCCTTTATAGACTTGTTCACCTTCAGTTAGACCCAGAATCAATGTTTATCAAATCAACCTTTCTCATCACTCCCCAGAACAAGCTCCAAAGTGAACTGAGGACCAGCTTCAAGGAAGATGAAAACATAAGATGGCAAGATAGGAAGAGATGTCCATATCTTGAAGCAACTGTACTGGAAATACAGAGATGCAGTAACATTTCAACATTTGCACCTAATAGGGCAAGAAAGAATACTACAATTCAAGGTAAGACAAAAGTAATTTAAAAGATTGATTAAAGGGGCATACAATGGCACAAAGGATTTTGATACAATTTTTCCATCATTAGATCAGTCTATCTAGCAAAAACGCATGCAAATGCAGTATGACATTGTACTTTGTATTTACACCTTTGAAAATCACTCATGACTGACCTCATGAATGTGACATCACTTAGTGCAAGTCAATTGTCATCAGAAAAAGTAATATGCTTTTAAGTAGGCACATATAAAATTTAAAAATTAAAAAAAAAAACGCACACACGTACATGTAAATGTCAGTCATCTTTTAAATGGCCGCCTACTACCAAAAATGTCATAAAACAGTTTGCCATGCTAATGAGTATTCACATATCAAATATGAACAAAATCGCTCTATTACTTTTGAGTTATAGTAAAAAATGTAAAATAACACAAGTAAAAATGGTGGCCATTTTCAAAATGGCCAGCTACTCTCAAAAGTGTTATTAGACAACGTGCCATGCTTACAGTATTCACACATCAAATATGAACAAAATCGCTCCACTACTTTTTGAGGTATTGTAAAAAATGATAAATATTATAACACACATAAAAATGGTGGCCATTTTTCAAAATGGTGGCCTACTAATGATTCTAGTATTCACATACCAAATATGAACAAAATCACTCCACTACTTTTCAAGTTACAGCAAAAATCGTAAAATGGCACGTAAAGGCAGCCATTTTTCAAGATGGCTGCCATTCATTTCTTAAATATCTTTTCTAGCTAATTGTCCTGTATAACTTTTTTACTCTTAAAACATATTGAAATTACAATTTTTGAAAATTGATTTTCGATTAGAACTCCCAAAGGGCACATGTGTACAAAATATTAACAAAATAGGGTGAACGGTATTTGAGTTATCGAACAGACGGACATACGCAAGGACAGATGGATGGAGGTGTTCCCTATATCCCTCTGAACTTAGTTCGATGGGATAATAATAATTTCAAATGTTTAATTTTTAATGTTAAACACGAAGTCAACCACAAGAACAATTAAAAAATATTTTCATTCAATGAAATGTTTTCAGGACACAATATACCTGAGGGAGTGAATGTGTTTTTCTGCCTCTGGAGCTACCACCTTGACCCAAGGTACTGGGAAAGACCAATGGAATTTGACCCAACAAGGTCAGTGCAGTCTTATTTGCAGATGTTGAAATTATGTTATTTTACTGGATGTTTGTTCTCCATAATGTTTGTTAAGATTTATGTCTGTCAACAGGAGAGTTTTGAGGTAGTTTATAGCCTCACATTAACCCCTTTTGAAGATTTAAAATTGAATGAAATTATTTATATTGCAGGTTTTTAGATCCTGCAGGAGAGGTATTTCGACAAGAAACTGTGATTACATTTGGACTTGGACCTCGGCTGTGTCCAGGGGAGAGCCTTGCTAGGATGGAGCTCCTGATGTTCTTTGGAAATGTTTTCAAAAATCTGAAAGTTACATTTGCAGAAAATTCTAAAAATTTTGATTTTACTCCAGCCAAAAATTCACTGCCATTATCCCCAAAATCATATCATATCTGTGCTAACTACTAAAACAATACGACTCTGAAAAGTGAATTGTCAACTTGAGTTTATTGGGACTGTTTACAGCAAACTGCATGATTATGGAGTGACAGTTTTTTATATCGCTGGAGTATCATTGTTAACATTTCATGATGGCTTGCAGCATTTAATCAGGTTGGAAGAGAACTGCTATATACCATATTTACCTCAAGTCCTAGTCACACACAGTTGCTCAACTTACACATCATATATTCTTAGTTTCATTGTTTGATTGGTAATTGTTGCTCCCAAGACAGATACTATAAATGACCTATTGGTTGTAGATCAGCTCACAAACAGACCAGCCATAGGTGTACATGTCAGCAAAACTTAACCTCTTGAATCCCAGGCTCTAAAATCGGTTGAAACCAGGGAATTTTTCATTTTTGCCACCTTTTGACATTCTACTACATACCTATACATCTTTAAATGCTCAACTAATTAAAATTAGACGGCAGAGATCATTTCTTTGTGACGGATTTTCTCGTCACTCTGGGTTTCAAGGTCATTTTTGAGGTGACGAGAAATCTCATCACTCCAGGTAGTCAAGAGGTTAATGTACATTCTCAGAGCTTGTTATTTGTGTATTAGTAAGCATTTCAAGGAGATGGACGTTTTTCAAGCATATTTTTTTCCTCAAGAGTAAGACATGCTACTGACTACAATTACATGTACGTGTGTCTATGATCTTCTGTGAATCCCTTTCTCTTGAAAAATTTGGAATTTTAAATGCAATTCAATGGTGTAACACAATATGTAACACATGTTCTTGTTATACAACAAATCAGCATTTTATTGATTATTTTTTGTATTTTAAATATTTTTATGTACAAATACTTTATACATCATTACAGTTTAAAATAAAATGTGCAACATTTGCACGATAAATATACATGTGGATTATATTTTTTAATATTTACCTAACATAGAAATACATGTATGTACACTTGGCAGAGCATATTTCATTTCATTATAATAGGACGGATTCTTCTCATTTTTTCACACAAGAGATTCAATTTGAAATAAAGCCATAGATTGAGCCGACACATAAATAGGGATGTGATGAACATGAGGAATAATGAACAGTGAAGTTAAATGGTAGATGAATTCCACATATTAAACAGGTCTACATGTAGATCTCGCCTTGTACCATGGAGCAATACAAGCCTGATCTTTAATTCCTCTAGACTCAATTTACTTCACTATTTCATTACAATTTATATGCAGCTTCTTTCTGTCCAAAAGGATGCATGACATGCAATTACAATGTGATTGTAATTATTTACCCCTGTGAGTTACACGCGTAGACTGGCTCTAGCTTTATCAAGAATGTCTTTGCGTATTTTAGGATAGTTTGGATGTCCTTTAAGCACATGGTGACAGATATCTATGGCATCAACAAACCTACGAGCCTTCAGGTAGTTGAATCCTAGCTTGTAACCTGAAATCGCATATATCATAAATAAACAATATTCAGATATTGTACCATTAAACCTGTCTATGTAAAAGAATGATAGCCCTACATGTTCTTCCAATTTATGCATGTTTAATGGTCAGTTCAAGCAGTGTCTATTTTTGAACAACTTTTAATATTTAGTTGCGCTTTGCTTTTATAATGAAAATGGTTCATTTTAATGTAAATGGCAAATCATGAACTTACCTATATTTGGACTGTTTTTGTTTCCATACTTCCAAGCCATTTCATAGTTCTTAGCGGCATCCTTGTATGACTGTTCCTTTTCCATAATGTGTCCCATGTACTCATATGCTTTTGTGCAAGACTATAATAACATGCAAAGTGTAAATATGTAGGCAATAAGAAATAATGCTCAAAATGAGGAAAATGACAGTATACATGAGTAAATATCCAAAATAATTTCAAATTGTGACCCATCAGTAGGTTCTTCTCTTGGCAAAACATGTCTATCAACACAAGAACAATGTTGAAACCAGAGACTTGGTATAAGTCTTCTTTCCCCTTCTTGTACCTTATTATGCTGCAAGCAGCGCTTTAGCAGCTCCGTGGCCATGTCAAACTTGCCAGTTTGGATGAACATATCAGACAGCAGTAACCAACTCTTCTCTAGGTCCTCTGCCTCCTGTAACCATAGAGACAATAATGTAACCATGGGAAAATAGTCTGATAGTGTACCATTGTTATATAACTGCAGTGGTTATAACACATTAACATGATAGCTAGTCAGAAACACACATATATCAATGCTTTTCAAATCATTAGGTCTAATGCAAATACTTTCAATACAATAATAATATTTTCAATTTCTTTGACTAAGTAAATCACAATTCCAATTTCAGATAGATATCCAAATACAATGTTACATTAATGAATGTATTTACTGTCATTGTCCAGTTGGCCTTGGTGACTCTCTTCAGTTGGTTCCTGGCTCTAGGTGTCTGCTTCATTACCATATATGCTGCTGCCATCCCATACAGAGCACCAACATGATCCCTCTGTGAAGAGAAAATAGAATCAATAATATGCATCAGTTGAAGGAAATTTTAATCTTAACATGGAAACAGTTCCTAATAAAAACTACAGGCGATTTTGGTAACAGAAAATTGCCTGCTGCTAATCATACCCATAAAATGGTTTGTTTAAGATATACATGTAAAAGTATATTTTATAGACTTGTATTGAAAGGTACACCATCCAACTTCAACTAGGAAGTATGGTAGCGGAAGTATTGTATTAAACGTTGGTTTATAATTGCTAATATCTATAATCACTGGTCTACATAAAGATGATATTACTGGAGCTACTATCTTCCAATATCAGGTCAACTAAATTCATTCAATACTGATAAATCCAAGCCCAGATACTGTGTAACTATTATGACAGTACATACTTCCTGGGAGCATATTTCCATGAAGGAGGCAAGCGCCTTCTCAATATTAGATTTGTTCTTCGTAGCAATGAGGGTCATGTTCTCAAGTATCTGAGGCATCAGGTCTCCAGGCTTGCGTTTTAACTCCTACAATTATTACAAGAAATATCTGTAAGTAACTACTCATTAGTACTCATTAAGACAGGATGCTCTGTAGATAACATGAGTATGTAGATAAGGAACTGAAGCTTTCAATATTTAAGTTGACATCTCCTACTGCTCCTTTATGTTCCCACTGAAATGCATGTAATTAACCTAATGTATGATCCAAAAATATAGTAATATTCATGGTTTAATTCCACTTTGAGGACATGAGAAACTTCTAATTCATAATAACTAAATAAAGCTGAAGAATTTTGATATCATAATGTAATTATCTTTCCCTACAACCAAATATGAAAAATCGGAAAGACAATTTCATTTCAAGAATTCGATTCAGGAAATGGTTTAGAGTTCAATCAAAACAGCGAAAGACCTATTACATCTTCATAGAACAATGAACTTACCTTCAGCAGTTTTTCCGCAGTCTTCACTGCCAACTGTTCACTGTCATTTTTCTCAGAAGAGCTAAAAAATACTTTCAATTATCATACAGCCATATATTTGTGTATTTTACGTAAACTGTACCATTAGATTTTAGTGGACAATTAGTATTTTTTACGTTGAAGCAGATAATTTTTCTTTATAACAGTATAATAATTCTTCATTGTCAAAAACTGCGCTGAAGAGATTTGAACTTGGAGCAATTGATGGAAGATGGTTAAATGTTGTCAAAAGAGCAGACTTTTGAAGAAAAGAATCACTTAAACACATAAAATTCCATTTATTCAACCAGTTATTTATATGAATGAAAATGTGCAACTTAACAAAAATATTGTATCTAACAGTCTTAACTTTGACCCTTAACTAAGTTACTTTTTTATAAAACGTTTTCTAGGCATGAGGTCATCTGCTGTAAGATGTCTAAGTTGATCAGTCAACTCATTCAAGGTCAGCATTATAGGTTGATCAAGTAGTCTAAGGGTATTGTTTGCCTGCCCTGCTGGACTAGGAGGGGGTGATTCTGGTTGGTTCTCTACCCAGGAACCTTGGGAATCATCAGGTTCAGGAGCAGTGGGGCGGACCTGGGGACTTATGTCAAATTTTCCCAAATGATTGGTATTTGTAATAGGGGAAATGTCTAATGGAGGAACAATGGGTCTATTGGAGGAGGACTGCTTCATTGTAGGCAAGCCAGGTGATTGTTTTGGAACTGGGATTGGTGTTTCGTTCAGCCTAAATAAAGTCAGTAAATATATTCTATACAGGGCATTTTTATTTCATTTCATGATGATCAAATATTGTATTTGTCTTTAGTTTGGCGAGCGCATTAAATTGGGGAATTTCGGCCAATTAAAAAAACGCCAAATTAAATAGTTGCCAAAATTCCGGGAATATGACATATTTTTCATTTTGTGCACTTTTGGTTATAAGAAAGGTACCAAGATGACTGGGCTGTTTAAAGTTATAAAAATAACAAAAAAAAAATATTGAAGAAATTTATATAAAAACAAGAAATTTTGAAGAAATTGTTCATCAATAACACTAGCAATGAGTATCTTGAATTGGGCTGGATGGGAGGATGTCTGGGACAATTGAAAAACCGCCAAATTAAATAGACGCCAAAAGGTCCAAAAACAGAAAATCACCAAATTAAGTAGCACCAAAGTAGACAAATACAGTGTGATAGAAGAAATGTAGACACAAAATCAATCAAAATCTGTATAATATAGTATATGTCAGTATGTTGATATAATGAAACAATACTACTCAATTCAATGTGCTGTTACTAATATACAATTAATGCCTTACCCCTCTGAGTCTGTGCTTTCAAAGACCTCTCCCCCAATGGTGTCATTGTCTGGGTTAAGGCAGATTTCTATCATGTTGTAGGTGGCCTTCTGTCCCCAGTCAGAGTCTTTCCTGGCCTTGTTGAAATGTTTTAAGGCTGTGTTGGGGTTGCCAATATACCTATAAGGTGAATATTGAACAGTTAATATTTAATTTAATACTGTACATTGTCCAACAGACTTTACATGTACATGTACACTCGTTTTTGCAAGGTGGATTATTCTCTAAGGAAGCAGTTGTGAAAATTGAGTGGGCCCCGATACTAACTTATCACCCAGACAGACAAACAAATGGATGAACAAATTGCGTCTCTACATCTACATCCCTCTTAACTTTGTTCACTGGGATAATTAAAGAATAATTTTACCATTCAAAGAGTCCTTTACAGTAGTTGTACCCAGGATCCATGGAGGCCCTGGATGAGGCATTTTCTGCAAGTTCCAGGAATCTAGGCACCTCTTCCAGTTTGCCTGCACGCCTCATCAGGTCAACTAGCCTTGCTAAAGCCTCAAAGTTGTCAGGTTTCCTCTCCAAGAGTTGTTGGAAATGGTACATGGCAGAGTCATATTCATTCTTCCTGAACATCAAGTCAGCCATCATCTTGAAAGTGAATCAAAAAATTACATTACATTTTCACACTACATTGACTAAAAAGCATAATATTCTACAAAAGTAGTCATTCTGTAAATCATGACATACTAAGAATTGAGGCAGGTGAAATAGTATCTTCTCTCCTGACCACTTCTTGCTGGCCTAAGCCATTCAAAGAAAGCGAGAAATGTGTAATCATAAATAGGTGCAATTACTCAAAATGACAAGTGAGATGAGTGACTCACCACCTGGCCAGCATCATTCTCTTTGTCTGTCTGCAACAGTTTCATACACTGATGTTGACATGAGTCCAAATCCTCAGTTTGCAGGTACAGATGGCAGAGTGCTAACATCACCTACATTAAGATCAATAATTGATGGAGTAGAAATCAACAAATTAATGTATATTTCTTTTGATAAATTCCCTTAAGAGAAATAATGATTTTTTGTTTATAACTAGCCCCAAGGATTTGTCGCCATCTGCAATTTTTTACAGATGATGACTGACGACCACCAAGCACCATCCGCATAAAGCTGGAGACTATAACAATGCCATCACTTGTGGTGGCGAAATAAAAAACAGTATAAAGCTCTGAACAGAATTCTGCTGGGGGTCGAGTGAAAATTGAATTTACAGTCACTGCCATATTACTTTTTGGCACATGTAATAAAGAACTTTGCATGTACCTGTATATGTAATGTCATTTTGATTAGCTGGTCTCGAGTAGTTAGAATGAGCAATGACAGCTAAGATGTGACCAGAAGAACAATCCTTACCTTAGCATCATTCTCAGTGTAAGTGAGAGCCTCCTTGTAGTAGTCTATTGCTTTCTTGAAGTCTCGTTGATCTGATGAATGTTTTGACATCTGACAACAGATACTGCAATAATGCACATCGGTTAGTATCAGTTAAACAATACAGAATGAAAGGCAAAAACCTCCCAAAAGCAACACGACTTCAAGTAAGATTGTATTTCCAGATATCCAACAATGAAAACAAAGGACTTCAAATATTTGGTCCAGAAAATGCTTTTATTTGTAGCAATCATTTAACACACTACTCAGTATCAGTTTTCGCTTCATCTAATCCCTCACATGAAATGATCAACCAAGATCTCTTGCATTGTGCATATGTTCATTTTATTACTACAGTGCATTTTAACTACTGCACTTATCTGAAATGTTACTTTATAATAATAACAAAAATATGAATTCGAGAGTGAGAATATAGTATGCTACCTAGACATGAGTTGTCTTTGCTTAGTGAGTGTGTCGGGTTGCTCTACTTGGACTCTCTTCAGGACCCTGATCTGTGTGTCATGTCCCTTCTTTAATGCCAGGAGGGAGTCATCTGGTCTATTGCTCTTGGCATGCACCTTAGATAGAAGCACAAGGTACTTCGTCTCATCCATGATGCTCTCAAGGTCTTGGTCTGTAAAGAGGTGAGTGTTATAGAGTAAGTCGAAAATCACAAAGCACACATAGCATTGATTCTGTCAAAGTTGGCTATTCTTTTCACTGGCTTTTAAGAGTAAGGTATGTAACTTTTGCCAGTACAAGCCACATGCATATGATCCACTTACTAGGTGTGTCTGTATCTAATGCTACTACAAATCACATGCATATGATCCACTTACTAGGTACCTCTGTATCTAATGCTACTACAACCCACATGCATATGATCTACTTACTAGGTGCGTCTGTATCTAATGTTACTACAACCCACATGCATATGATCCACATACTAGGTGTGTTTGTATCTAATGCTACTACAACCCACATGCATATGATCCACTTACTAGGTGTGTCTGTATCTAATGCTACTACAACCCACATGCATATGATCCACTTACTAGGTGTGTCTGTATCTAATGCTACTACAACCCACATGCATATGATCCACTTACTAGGTGTGTCTGTATCTAATGCTACTACAACCCACATGCATATGATCCACTTACTAGGTGTGTTTGCATCTAATGCTACTACAACCCACATGCATATGATCCACTTACTTGGTGTGTCTGTATCTAATGCTACTACAACCTACATGCATATGATCCACATACTAGATGCGTCTGTATCTAATGCTACTACAACCCACATGCATATGATCCACTTACTAGGTGTGTCTGTATCTAATGCTACTACAACCCACATGCATATGATCCACTTACTAGGTGTGTTTGCATCTAATGCTACTACAACCCACATGCATATGATCCACTTACTTGGTGTGTCTATGTTTCATGCTACTACAACCTACATTCATATAATCCACTTACTTGGTGTGTCTGTCTAATGCTACTACAACCTACATACATATGATCCACTTACTGGGTGTGTCTGTATCTAATGCTACTACAACCCACATGCATATGATCCACTCACTAGATGTGTCTGTATCTAATGCTACTGCAACCCACATGCATATGATCCACTTACTGGGTGTGTCTGTATCTAATGCTACTACAACCTACATGCATATGATCCACTTACTGGGTGTGTCTGTATCTAATGCTACTACAACCCACATGCCTTTGATCCACTTACTAGGTGTGTCTGTATCTAATGCTACTACAACCTACATGCATATGATCCACTTACTGGGTGTGTCTGTATCTAATGCTATCCTGAGGACCTTTTCAGCTTTCTCATATTGCCTCAGCCTCAGTAACAACTCAGCCAGATCATACCTAGAAACAGACATGTGCATTTATAAACAAATTAAATGCACTCTGACATCACACATGGACACATTTCTTGATCAGTGAAGAATACTACTGGTATTCTGATAAGGGATACTGATAAGGGATATTACACAGGATTTATTTCATATTTTAAAAGATTTTCCACTTCTGCTGTAGATTTACCTCAGGAAATTTTGACCTCCAGATTTTAGGGCAGCCTCGTAATAGCTAATTGCTTTCCCATAATTATGTGTCTTCACCAAAGCTTGACCTATCTTACTGGCCAGGGAACCATCTTTAGGATTCTTCTTAAGGGCTGTCTCATAGACCTCAATAGCTTTCTCAGGCTCCTGGATGCTCATGTAGGCATCCCCTAGAAGGAGACATGTGTGGGGACTGGGGGCTTTATCTACTAATTCTCTACAATCAAAACAGCATATAAGTGATTTAGTATTACAATAGAGACTAAGGTCTAAGGTTTTAAGGGTATTAAAATCTTTTTTCTTATACGTGTACAGTATACTCTTTTTTATTTTTGGTTTGTAATATGGTACCATGAAAAAGAGTTGACGAGAGTAAAAGGTGAACAGAATAAAAAGATACATGACAAAAGTTCTGTACCTATAGCAACTAGCATAAAGTCGTTTATCTTTCCGATGATTCAAATAAATATTTGCCATTTTTTCCCGAGCTTGTACAAAATATGGCTGATCAGGAGTTATTGTCCTTAGCATAGTCAGTGCTCCCTCCACATCACCTCGATCAATTGACATCTCAGCATTTGCAATTGTTATACGAATTTCTTCAGGAGTTCCATGGAATTCATTTGTTGCATCTGACATGACTTTAGTTGCCTCATGCTGTTCTCCTAGGGCTCTATGAGCCTCTGCTAACTCCAGGAATACTGAGACACGGTCATTGAGGCTCACCTGCTGGATAACTTTCCCCTTTTTACTAGCACTATGCCTACTACCTGCAAGTCAACAGTAAATGTGAAAATAAATGTGAATTTCTAATTTTTGTAAAATAACATGTAATATCATTTTAATGAAAAAAAACAAAAGTATATGTGAAATATATTTTCTAATATGAGGCCCAGTGTAGGCAATTAAAGGGCTTGTATTCTTTTCTGGAATTAAAGCATGAAAAAAATTGTTCATGTAGAAAGTGAATTGATTGTCATTGGAAATTGAAAAAGGTGCAAGTAGTTCATTTTGTTTACTGAGTGAGGAATTCATTTCAAATGTTGAACTTTAAAGAACAATTCTTTAATATCTGACAAATGAACATAATTCATTTCATAACATTTAACGGACATCCATGTCTGATGATTACACTTGTCAGCTTTATATTTAATCTCATTAATTTAATCCTACTTTTCTTAATGCCTGGCAATGCCATGGCCATCTGTAGTGTCTTGACTGCCTCTTCATTCTCTCCCTGTTTGCGATGGATGCGTGCCTTGATAAGGTTGTATATGGGGTGGTCTCTCACCTCAAAGTTATAGCTCAGACCTATCTCTAATGACTGGTTGGCTTGTTTGAAGTTGTTCTGGTATAGGTAGATCTAAACACAGAACAGTGAATGGAACTGGTTGAAGTACATGTACATGTATTTCATATTTCCTAATCAATCATGAATGATTAATGAATAATGAAGATATTGTGAGTCTTATCTTAATGTTAAAAGTACATTAATTTTGCTTGTACATCCTAATTAGTACCTGTGCCATGAGTATATGTGCATCAGAGAAGGTTGCATCAGTGTCCAGACAGTGCTGCAGGGTACTCTGGGCAGCATCAATGTCCCCTATAAGAAATACATTCACATTTTAAACTACTTGTATATCTAACATGTACCTACATGTGTATAGATATGGTTTATACATGTATATTTCTGCCCAATATGACCGATGTCAAACTTGAATAACGCAAATGCGAGTAGGTAGTTACCAGTTTCACCACCAGGTGGCACGCTCGGGTCAGATAGCATGGCGGGTATAGTAGAAAGTTCCCTTTAATTTAAATTAGATCTGTTTTAGTGGTTCGATTTTCATATAGCCCTTATGTATCGAATAGTTATGCAAATTAAAGTATGTCCAGTAAAAGAAAATGATATAATGTCCAATACAAGAAAAGATATTTCACTTTTTGTGATTTTTTAATATGGAGTCTATGGGAAATCAACCCGAACTAGAAGTCACATTTTCAAAAAGATTAAATTTTCAAAGTTGATAAACAATTTTCGAAACCATATTTTTAGAAGTATTTTTACATGTAGATTTCAAATATGACATCACTTTGACTGAATTTTGAATATTTAATGACGTAAATCAAGATCATTTCTACTCGCATCTAGTCTATTGGTAATTGATAAAAAAAATTCAAATGGTGTGAAGAATTTAGAACCTGACTTTCCTCAAAGTATTAGTATGTTCACTACTATTTCAGTGTTAATATTTTATCAACATCTTCCTGTACTATCATTTTATCTAAGTGCATTATATTTGAGCATATATTGTAACTCATATGATATGTGCTAAATGTCTACCTGAGAGGTATTTGACTTTAGCCATGAGGAAGAGACCCTCTAAGAGTCCAGGTACAGACCGGGTGATGCTCTCAAGGATAACATTACATCTCTTTAACACAGGATCAACTGGTTGCCCTGGAGATCCAGGCTGTAATAATACAAGTTCCATTTAACACTTGAATCTACAAACCCTCACTAAAACATGAAAAAACATATTTTTCCAAATTGATGAAGTTTATAGATTCTACCTCCATATCGTTAATAAACTGCCAATCTCAAACAGCATCAGTTTGTGAAACAGTGCTGGACAGCACTGTAAAAACAGTACTGTACATCACTGTTTTCAAAAACAGTGCCATATAGCGCTGTAAAAACAGTACTGTACTACGCTGTTCAAAACAGGTGATGCTAGAATAACACTGTACATCGCTATAAAACGAATAAACAGAAAATAAACATCTGTCTAGTTCACTGGTCAGTATCAAGTGAAGCTAACGTATATCAGTTATCTTATCATTTGTAAAATCCAAATCCCAGTTACCTTCCCTTAAGCGGTGGAAGATATCTTTGAACAGTGGTGCCTACACATGGTATATGAACAAATGCTCATCCTCCAAAGTTTCCATGACATATATGCCTGATACAGTTCAAATATCAAAGCATTACGTCAACTATAACATAGAAACAATGTAAACTAAAAAATATCAAAATCAACACTTACCATCCGCCATCTTTGATGCTAAGGTTACGGCCGTTACCTTTGCTTGATACTGACCAGTGTAGATGACACTATGCTTACTTAATATTTATGTTCCAGCAATAATTACATTGCATATACCTAGATTTAGTAGATAAATATTACAAGTATAGCGCTATATGGCACTGTTTTTGAAAACAGTGATGTACAGTACTGTTTTTACAGTGCTGTCCAGCACTGTTTCACGAATAGCGCTGTTTGATGCTGTTTGAGACATTTTATTCATAGTGAAACCTAATATCCCATCTTCCTTTACAATAATTGAAACACTACTTTACGACTGTCTTGAGAAAATCTCGGTAAGAGGGTCAAACACCTTACCTTCTGTGGTGCATAGATGAGGAAATCATTGAGAATCTGCATCAGGAAATCTGGGTTCAAGTGAAAATAATAAGCTGGGCTAAGGGACAATGCCTACAACAAATGTTTCATCATAGATTGTATATATTTAGATGTAGTCAACAAAGAGAGAGCTAGGAAATTACAGATATTGTATTATTAGACATGCATATACAGTTTGCACAGTAGCTTTTATTTTGTTAATTTATCACATGTTTACTTTCATATGGGTGTATATATTTTTTATTTTTATTTATTGATTTCTCAATTCACCCTTTATAGGGTAATATACAAAAGATTATATCATATATTTGTATTTATCAAGATGACAAGATATAAAGCTAGAAAGAAAGAAATAGAAATAATAAGTAAATAGATATAATCACATATAGCTGAATGTTATAAAGTGCAATTATTGAATATAATTTTTAATACTTAAATGTATTAGAATACAGAAAATGTTAAAAATATTATATTTTATCCCAAGGCTTGAAATGTCACAAAAGTTTGTTTACAAATGTGTACCTTAATGCCAGCAAAGTGTTTCTCAACTGAAGCCTTCAAGAGTTCAGTTACTTTCTCAGGAGCCTCTGACTTCTTCCTGGCCAATACAGCTGTCAAATAGCTCAGCTCCTGTAACATGTACATAATCAAAAGGTTCTGTCAATGTCCAATTATGTTAATGTTTTGTTCAAAAACTCAGCCAAAAAGATATAGGAAGATAAGTGATGTATAGCTGGATTCATTTGGAGAGCACCAAAGAAATTAGAATACTGAACAGGAAGTAGCTGGCAATGTTTACAAAGTCTTGTAGGATTTTCAGAATTAGTTTATTCAATGTACTTATGAAAGCATGGTCCACTGCAGTGGTTTGTTAAAAGATGTCATAGAGTAAAGTTACATACTAGAAAAACAGCAACTCCACGGAGTAGCAAATCCCACCGAACAAAACATGTTTTGGTGAATAGTGGCCATATAAAATTTGAGCCAAATTCATCCACTGGTATTTGAATTATCAAAGATTGTGTTTTTATGAAACATGGTTGCCATTTTGAAATTCAGCTGTCATCTTTAGATTTTTCCTTTAGCAGAGCTCCTATGCCAAAAGGCATCAGCATATACATTTAACCCAAATCCGTCAACTGGTACTTTTATCAAAGGTTACATTCTTTGATGAAAAATGGCGGCCATTTTGAAATTTAGCTGCCATCTTGAAAATCCCTTCTCGAACAGAGCTCCAATGTCCCTAGGCATCAGCATGTAAAATTTGAACCAAATCCATTCAATGGTATTTGAGCTACCAAAATGGCCACCATTTTGAAATATGGTGGCCATCTTGAAAATGTCTTCTTGAGCAAGGCTCCTTTGTACCCAGGCAACAGCATATAAAATTTGATCCAAATCCATTCTATGGTACCTTGAGTTATCAAAGATAACGTTTTTTTACAAAAAATGGCCGCCATTTTGAAATATGGTGGCCATCTTGAAAATGTCTTCTTCAGCAAGGCTCCTTTGTACCTGGGCAACAGCATATAAAATTTGAAGCAAATCCATCCACTAGTATTTGAGTAATCAAAGATTATATTTTTTACGAAAAAATGGCGGCCATTTTGAATTTAGTGGCCATATTGAAAATTCCTTCTTGAGCAGAGGTCCTACACCCATAAGGCATAAGCCTATAAAATTTGAATGAAATCCGTCAACCGGTATTTGAGTTATTGCCCGGACACACGAACGGACGGACGGACGAACGGACGGACGAACGGATGGACGGACGGCTTTTCTATATCCCCCTCGAACTTCGTTCGGTCGGATAATAAGTTAGTAAAGGTTAAAAGTTACCGCTGAGTTGCCAACACTCTGCTGTATTTCATTAAGAAATTCTAGCTGCTGGGATGCATCTTCTAGTTGATTATCTGTCAACTGACACTGGATTATACCTGAAAGTATTGTCTCATTATTAAATACTGATATTTGATTAGTTTGTTCTTTTTCAATTCAGTTGGTGAGTTTGAATACACTGCATTATAGAAACATTGCCTTCAGTTAAATGGAATATAGCAAAACATGAATGTAATCCAAGACTGGTTTAGACCGTTCACATGAGGAGGTTTTTTCATTAAAAGATTTTGATAACATGATTGTATTTGTGACATTTAGGTATTCCTGAAGAGAGGTGTTCATTCATTCCAGAAAGATGTTCACAAACAGTATCATTTATAATATTGAAAGCACTTGGAAAGAGGCAAAATCTTATATTAATTATCTATACAACAAAACGAAACAAATGAAAAATGCACACAAATTATTTATCATAATTATCCAAATCATAATAATCTTGATTCTTATTCTACATCTTATTTTATGACCTATCAGATTTGGCTGGTCACACACTTTTCTATATCTTTGTTGAGCTAGAATATAAACATATTAACATTATGAGATGCTACTATAATAATGGTTTAGTTTAGTTTAGTTTAGTTTATTTCATATTATAGTGGTTGGTCTTACATGCAATATACATCAGTAATACAGTGTAATACAATTTACCCAGCCCACCTTGGGCTTATCAACCACTTTTTACAAATTAATATAAAAATCAAACTTCAGCAGTAATGCTTTGTTTGTTAAGTGTATATAAGTCTCATTATCTTATAGGTTTACTTTGACTTTTACAATTCTTCTTTTTTATTTTGGATGAAGTTTTCTGTCGATCAAAGGTTGGAAGATCTCTCTAATATTTTGCATTTATGGCTGTTGCCTGTTGTATAAAATTAAAATGAATAAACAATAAACAAGGCACAACTGACATTAATGAAATCACTGCACCAAACAGACACACAAGGCATTAACATCCTCTATCATGTGTATTAATTCAAAGAAAATTCAATGAGTGGTTTTCCAAGAATTGCGATGACAAGATTTATTTAAAAACTTCAAAAATGGCCACAAGAAAACAAGATGGCCACCCAAAAGTTAATCAGCACTAGAACATGGTATCCTCTATTTTGTTCAAAGAGAACAATCCAATGAGCAGTTTTCCTGGAAATGGGATGGTAAGATTTGTTAAAAAAATTCTGAAATGGCCACCAGAAAACAAGATGGCTGCCAAAAAGTTAATCAGCTCTAGAATTTGGTATCCTCTATCATGTATATGAATCCAATATGCAGTTGTCCTGGAATCACGATGACAAAAAAGTGGGATGCCTCATGATAATAACCACGATTATGCCACCAACATAATAATAACTATATAAAACCGGTGATGTGATAACAACACTGGTGGTGTGATAAACATAGAGATCTAATATCATCAAATCAGATGACTCTTAGATGTACTGTTAGACGTACCTGTGAGAGCCTGTACACTTGTTTCATCCAGCTTCATAGCATTCCTGTAGCACTTGGTAGCATCCCTGATCTTTCCCTGTATGAAATACTCATAGCCCATCTCAGTAACAAAGTCAGCATTGGAGTTGTCCAGTCCTACAGCCCTCTCACACATGAAGAAGGTCTGTTGAAGCACTGCAGAATTCCTACCACACTGCATGAAGTAAAAATGTATGTTAATAGTAAACTGATCAGATAAAAGCTCAGACCTTAAGTAGTGCTAAAACAAAACAAATGTTCCTTTTTGTAAAAGCCTGATTAGTCTAAAATCATAGCTTCATAGTTGCTTTTTATTCTTTTGTGCTACTGCAAGATTGTTTTCAAATAAACATATTTCTTACTTTTTTGTGTTTAAACACTTTAAATATATGTATACAATTTGTGATTTTCATCACCACCACTAACATGTCTTTATGATTAGGATAGGCATTTGCTTATTATACCACTAATTACAAATTCATCCGATTTGGATAAGGAATAGAAAATCGTTATAGTTTTACCAAAGCTACATTTGTCATCTTTTATTACCAGATGAGTTAAATGTACAGTATGGTACAGTAAATGTATGGCATGTATGGTAGTAATGGTACGATGCAGTACAGTACATTGCAATGCATTTACATGTAATCGGGAAAATAAATTGCTTCAAGTCCCAATGTAAAGTTTGAAAATATTTTTTTATCATTCATTTACAATTTGTCATGACTTCATAAGTTATTTTAGAGATTTTTGAAAAAAAAGTTGTGAGCATTTCATTTCTCAAATATTCAAATTTCCCGCCATTTTTGAAAAAAAGTTGAAATTTTTTAATCATCAAGAAAAGTTGTGAGCATTTCTTTTTAACGTCCACTGCAAAGATTGAACAAAGGACACACTATTTCAATAATAAAATGCCATATTTAATGGGCCATATCAATGTTTTAGCATATCAAAAATATTTTGCAACATTATTGATGTCATTATGACTCACTCAGGTGGCAAAAACAGAAAAAAATACTATGTCAATCTTTTCAAAATATGCTAAACTTCAATAATAAACCAATGTCAATTGTCTAACCAGGTTAAAAGGAAGAATAAATTATGTATCATTGTACCATTGGTTTCTATGAGAACTAACATTTCTCTGAACCATTTCATGCACTGATGAGTTCATTTCTCGCTTATTTATGAACCACTTTTCTTTCCAACTATGCATTGGTATGAATTGTGGCTTATCAAAAGATATGTGTGACCTCTAAAAGTTAGTTTTAAATAAATTCACAATTTTTTAAGGAAAAGTCGTTCAAAAACCACTTTTTGAAATTAAAAAAGTTTCACATATCACACTTTGATAACATTGGGTAAGACTACAGTATAAGCCAAAGTGGTTTAAACTTTACATGGGGACTTTAACCTACCAGTCTACAGAAGACTTGTGACATCTCATAGAACAGTTGGCCATTCTGTGGTTCATTTCTGTCCATATCTTGTAACAGGTCAGCAAGCTTTTCTGCAGCCTAATAACATTGAGTTCTGTCATTAACTTCATTTACAAAGTTTTATTTTAGCTCAATATATAAAATTGTTAAGTATCTCATCAGGCAATTTTTCATTATAAGAATCTTAAGTGAGAACTGCAAATTTAATTCAATGGTAGTTGCCAATTGTTATAAATATTAATGTGTTCTCCTGTAATTTGTGTTTTTCTGACATTTATCTTGTGTTTCTCAATATGATCTCACAAAAGCTCTTACTTCTTGATAGTTGCCCTCCCTACAGAGTAGATGAAGTATGATATACTTCTGGGCCTCTATATTATGTCCATCCATGGCTAGAATCCTGAAAGAAATAGCATTTCAATTATTTACACGAGTATTAAATAGTTTCCCTCCCTACAAAGTAGAGAAGTATGATATATTCCAGTCTCTACACTGTGTGCGTTGCTGTAAATGAATGAAAGGGTGCCATAGGCTTACAAAATTTAACAAGAACACAAATGTGTACAAAATGTCCCCACTTATGGGTGATCCTGTCAAATGGTTATCCTAAAAATGAGTAGACAAGACTTTACCGACACAATTTGATGATGGAAAATCCAAAATGGCCACCTTAAAATTTACCTAGAATGCCAAAAAACTAATCAGATGTAGATTTTCATACTAAGAATCATCCCTGAAAATTTGAAATTGATCTACAAAACGGTTCACCTAAAAACGCGTAGACAAGACTTTACGGGCAGGATTTTAAGACGGAAAATCCAAAATGGCTGCCTTGGCATTTATCCAGAATGCCAAAACTAATCAGATCTAGATTTTCATACTAAGAATCATCCCTGAAAATTTGAAATTGATCTACAAAACGGTTCACCTAAAAACGCATAGACAAGACTTAACGGGCAGGATTTTAAGACGGAAAATTCAAAATGGCTGCCTTGACATTTATCCAGAATGCCAAAAAACTGATCAGATCTAGATTTTCATATTAAGAATCATCCCTGAAAATTTGAAATTGATCTACCAAACGGTTCACCGGGAAATGCGTAGACAAAACTCTACAGACAAGATTTTAGGACGGAAAATCCAAAATGGCTGCCTTGGCATTTACCCAGAATGCCCAAATACTAATCAGATCTAGATTTTCATACTAAGAATCATCCCTGAAAACTTGAAATTGATCTACAGAACTGTTCACCTGGAAATGCGTAGACAAGACTTTACAGACAATATTTTAGGACGGAAAATCCAAAATGGCTGCCTTGACAATTACCCAGAATGCCAAAAAACTAATCAGTTGTACATTTTCATATTAATGATCATCCCTGAAAAATTGAAATTGATCTACCAAACAGTTCACCTGAAAATGCGTAGACAAGACTTTACAGACAAGATTTTAGGACGGAAAATCCAAAATGGCTGCCTTGACATTTACCCAGAATGCCAAAAAACTAATCAGATCTAGATTTTTATACTAAGAATCATCCCTGAAAATCAAGAATTGATCCACCAAACGGTTCACCTGAAAACACGTAGACAAGACTCCACAGACAAGATTTTAGGACGGAAAAATCCAAAATGGCTGACAATAAAAAAGTGATCATGAGTTTTTGCTGATTTCTTTTTACAAAATTATCACATATAAATACTGTTAACAACAACATAGGCTTTAACAACAAAGTACATCTGAAATTATTTATAAAGCTACTAAATAGTTAGAATATGAAAACTCAAAAACACCATTCAATATGATACAAAGTATTATCGTGCGCTAACTTTTCTTAAGACATTCAAAATGGCTGACATGACTGAGCTAACAGGTCCAAAACCTAATCAGATCTAGAATGAAGTGAGCTGAACAAGATGTTAAAGTTTTAAAAGCAACTGTGAAGCCGTTTTTCTTAAAGTTTGCAGACAAGGATTTTAGCATTTGACTTCAAAATGGCCGACAGGAAGTAGGTATCGAGTTAATTTTTTTTCATCCACATCTGTATGCACTCATAAGTTATCCCTGAAAATTTGAAGGTGATATCTGTAGCGGTTTTGGAGAAAACTGCCGGACGTACGGACGGACGGACGGACGGACAGACGGACGGACGGACAGACGGACGGACAGACGGACGGACGCGCCTAGGCCGACAATATGGCCCCACACTATGTGGTGGGGACATAATAAGGTGGCTGATTACCAACTGGAAATTCTTAAATTCTCTATAAATCTCGACATATTCCAAGGCATTAACATAACAGGACTCTGTACATATAGTTAATACATGTATATACCTCTGAGCAGTCTCCATTACATTCTCCCAATCCTGTAAGGCTAGTTGAACTTTCATCTTCTCTATTAATGGTGGAATAAAGGACTGAAAGTTCACAACAGCTGTGTTCAACAGTTCAAGAGCCCCTGTGAAGTTGCGTCTCTGCTCAAAGAACTTGGCCTTCCCAAACAAAGCATCCATATCCTTCACACCATCTTGGCTAGAATGTGAAATGAGATTGGGGTAGCATTCTCTAGACTATTTCATAAGATTTAGTAGCAGTTAAGAATTCTTCAAGTTTTGTATTAGTTTTTTCCAAGTTACATTCAGATGAAATAGATAAAGACATTTTCATGTGAAGTAAGACTTCTTAAAAAAAACTACCTAGTTGCATACTCTTCCATACACCTTATCTATTTCTGATTTCTCTGACACCAAGATTCTACATCAAATCATCAATGTGTCTTGCATCTGTATATATCTTCAAAAGTTTTGCAACAAAAAATACTTAATCTTAAATTTTTCATTTGACAGTAAAAATGAAGCAGATTTAACAAAAGCTACGTGTCTCAATAACAAACAGAAAAGTGCATGCACCATTCAGGACAAACAAGTTAAAACTTTGATTTGAATGCTGTTTCAAAATAATGATGGTTAGAATGCTCTTGCTTCTATTGAACATAAAAAGTCAAACACAAAGTACACTTAAAGCAATATCTAATAAAAATTCTAAAATGTCTAAGAATATTTATTCATCCACAGATTGAAGTTATCATGAGATTAATATGTGGCCTCTTCAGATCAAACTGAGCCCAAATGGCCATCCTCTAGGCCTCTACATGTTTGCCTCATGTGATTCAATAGTTCATCTTCAGACTTACAACCATAGACTTTTAGGCACAAAATCATATTGCATGCAAACCTACCATTTTACTTGTTCTCCAACCAATACCAATTTGGCACTAGAATGCACAATTCAATCTTCAAGTAACAATCTCTCTATTACTAGACATTGTTTCATTCAAAATAAAATTGTGAAGCTAGCACAATTAAGATACTTTATACTTAGGACCTAACAAGAGTATGAATATTTAATCTGAAATGTCTGATATTAGAGAGACCGCATTAAAGGTTGAGGTTGCAAAGAGATTTAGATATCAGATGAAACAATAAAATCATAAATGTGAAAGTACAGATTTTGTTATTGTAAGAGTAATTACTAAGTAATAATTAGTATGAGTAATTATACCACTCATTTTTATAATATAAACAAAATATATGGGGACTGTGCCGGAGAGGGGGTACACACTGGAAAACATCTACACTTAGTCTAGTTCAAGTGCAATAGGTGAAAAACTGAAAAATAGCTTGCACTTATAAGCAATCCCCGGCGAAATGATATTTTTGTGATATGAATATTCATGAATTATTCATGAATATTCAGGTGTGATGAATATTGTAATATCGATATAAATTGTGAAGAATAAAGATTTAACCATATTCTTGTATTTTTGAAGAATAATAAAGAATAATTTATGTTCCTGAATATTCTTCAATTTCTATGGTGAATAATTGAAGAAGAATAAAGAAAATTTCATGTTCTTGAAAATTCTCTATAATTTCACCACGCTGAATGAAGAAAATTTGGATAATTATGAAGAACACATCTGTTCTTAGATATTCTTCATTTTTTCACCACCTTGTTTGAAGGATATTTGAAGAATAATAAAGAACATCTCTGTTCTTAGATATTCTTCTTTTTTTCACTACCTTGTGTGAAAGATATTTGAATAATACTGAAGAATATTTATGTTCTTAAATATTCTTCATATTCTCACCAAAATGTTTGAAGAATATTTGAAGAATAATGAAGAACCTTTTGTATCTTTTGAAATCTTGGAAATCCTTGATATTTTCACCATGTTGTTGAAGAATATTCAAATAATAATGAAGAACTAATATGTTCTCAGATATTCTTCACCTTTGCACCACCTAATTTGAAGAATATTTGAAGAATACGAAAGAAGATTTTGTATCCTTTGATACCCTGAAAATTCTTCATATTTTCACCAATTTGTTAAAAGGATATTTGAATAATAATGAAGAACTAATATGTTCTTAGATATTCTTCAATTTTTCACCACCTCATTTAAAGGGTATTTGAAGAATAAATAAAAATAACATTTTGCATTTATGAAATTCTTGGAAATGCTTCATATTTTCACCACTTTGTTTAAAGGATATTTGAATAATAATGAAGAATTAATATGTTCTTAGATATTCTTCATTTTTTCACCACCTCATTTGAAGAATATTTGAAGAATAATGAATCATAACCTATCCCAGAATTCCTCAAAAAGGAAATGATTGTTTTAGGCGGGAAAAAACACATTAGTAAAACATGAAATTGAAGCTCTTGTTAAAAAGGAACATGTCCTTAAAATATGTGGACAGAGAAACAGGAACATATGCCAAAAGGTAGGTGACACATATCTTCTTGTTTAGATCAATAATTAGATAGCTATTTCCACCTAGAGAGGAGATATCTCAAGATCTGGAGTTTTCATATAGAAATCAGCCATTTTATTTTTATCTAAAGATTTATTCTTAGAAATTCTTCTTTTTTCCATTCTGTTTGAAGAATATTTGAGGAATATTGGGGAAAATGTTTAATAACTTTAAGAAAAACATGAAATTGAAGCTCTTTTGTAACATGGGAACAATTTGTTAAAGGGACATTTGAATAATAATGAAGAACTAATATGTTCTAAGATATTCTTTAATTTTTCATGACCTCATTTGAAGGGTACTTAAAGAATAAATAAAAATAACATTTTGCATTTATGAAAATCTTGGAAATGCTTCATATTTTCACCACTTTGTTTAAAGGATATTTGAACAATAATGAAGAATTAATATGTTCTTAGATATTCTTCATTTTTTCACCACTTCATTTGAAGAATATTTGAAGAATTATGAATCATAACCTATCCCAGAATTCCTCAGAAAGGAAATTATTGCTTTAGGTGGGAAAACACAAAAGTCCATGAAAGTTTATTCATGAATATTCAAGTAATTCGATTTGAAGAATTTTCGGGAAGTGTCCAAATTGATGTTCAATTGATTTTCACGCATATTCATGAATTCTTCATGATATTTATTCTTCATTGGTGGATTATTCATCAATATTTTACATGAATATTCAGGAATTATTCAATGCCATTTCGCTGGGGTAGGGACAAAGGAGCTTTGCTTGTTGATAAATCAACTATCAATAGATGGATTTGGTTCAAATTTTATATGCTAATACTTTAAGATGAGGAATATTTCAAGAAAAATGAAGCTAAACTTGGAGAAGATTTCAAGAACATTGAGGAACAGAATATATACAGGTGATGAATATTTATTCTTCATTTAAGTAATAGTTCATGAACATACATGTGAGTTAATTCATGAATTATTCAAGAATGTTGGAGAATATAATGTTATGAATATTTCATGAATATACAGTTGGTGAATATTTCAAAAAATATGAGGTCGTATACATGGAGATGATTTCAAGAATGTTGAAGAATATAATGTCATGAATATTTCAAGAAATATGAAGCTAAACCTGGAGAAGATTTCAAGAATATTGAGGGATAGAATATCATGAATATTTCAAGAATATGCGGGTGATGAATATTTCATGAATAGCCTATAGAGTTGATGAATATTTCATGAGTCCAAATTGTATTTCAGTCATATTCATGAATAGTTCAGGTATATTTATTTTTCATTGAGTAATATTTCATGAACATACAGGTGATAAATATTTCATGAATATGCAGTTGAGGAATATATCAAGAAAAATGAACCTAAACTTGGAGAAGATTTCAAGAACATTGAGGAACAGAATATATACAGGTGATGAATATTTATTCTTCATTTAAGTAATAGTTCATGAACATACATGTGAGTTAATTCATGAATTATTCAAGAATGTTGGAGAATATAATGTTATGAATATTTCATGAATATAGAGTTGGTGAATATTTCAAGAAATATGAGGTTGTATACATGGAGATGATTTCAAGAATGTTGAAGAATATAATGTCATGAATATTTCAAGAAATATGAAGCTGCTGGAGAAGAATTCAAGAATATTGAGGGATAGAATATCATGAATATTTCAAGAATATACGGGTAATGAATATTTCATGAATAGCTTATAGAGTTGATGAATATTTCATGAGTCCAAATTGTATTTCAGTCATATTCATGAATAGTTCAGGTATATTTATTTTTCATTGAGAAATATTTCATAAACATACAGGTGATAAATATTTCATGAATATGCAGTTGAGGAATATATCAAGAAAAATGAACCTAAACTTGGAGAAGATTGCAAGAACATTGAGGAACAGAATATATACAGGTGATGAATAGTTATTCTTCATTTAAGTAATAGTTCATGAACATACATGTGAGTTAATTCATGAATTATTCAAGAATGTTGGAGAATATAATGTTATGAATATTTCATGAATATACAGTTGGTGAATATTTCAAGAAATATGAGGTTGTATACATGGAGATGATTTCAAGAATGTTGAAGAATATAATGTCATGAATATTTCAAGAAATATGAAGCTGCTGGAGAAGAATTCAAGAATATTGAGGGATAGAATATCATGAATATTTCAAGAATATACGGGTAATGAATATTTCATGAATAGCTTATAGAGTTGATGAATATTTCATGAGTCCAAATTGTATTTCAGTCATATTCATGAATAGTTCAGGTATATTTATTTTTCATTGAGTAATATTTCATGAACATACAGGTGATAAATATTTCATGAATATGCAGTTGAGGAATATTTTAAGAAAAATGAAGCTAAACTTGGAGAAGATTTCAAGAACATTGAGGAACAGAATATATACAGGTGATGAATATTTATTCTTCATTTAAGTTATAGTTCATGAACATACATGTGAGCTAATTCATGAATTATTCAAGAATGTTGGAGAATATAATGTTATGAATATTTCAAGAAATATGAGGTTGTATACATAGAGATGATTTCAAGAATGGTGAAGAATATAATGTCATGAATATTTCAAGAAATATGAAGCTAAACCTGGAGAAAATTTCAAGAATATTGAGGGATAGAATATCATGAATATTTCAAGAATAAACGGGTGATGGATATTTCATGAATAGCCTATAGAGTTGATGAATATTTCATGAGTCCAAATTGTATTTCAGTCATATTCATGAATAGTTCAGGTATATTTATTTTTCATTGAGTAATATTTCATGAACATACAGGTGATAAATATTTCATGAATATGCAGTTGAGGAATATTTCAAGAAAAATGAAGCTAAACCTGGAGAAGATTTCAAGAATATTGAGGAATAGAATATCATGAATATTTCAAGAATATAGAGGTGATGAATATTTCATGACTATACAGGTGGTGAATATTTCAAGAACTATGAGGCTTGCTTTTTTCATGAATATTTCAAGAAATATGAGGCTTATTTTTTCATGAATATTTCAAGAAATATGAGGCTTACTTTTGATGAATTTTTAAGGAATGTGATATCATGAATATTTCATGAATATACAGTTCATGAATATTTCATGAGTCCAAATTGTATTTCAGTCATATTCATGAATAGTTCAGGTATATATTTATTCTTCAATATTCTTCATTGATGAATTATTCATGAAAAAAGTTCATGAATTCCCATGAATTATACCTGAATATTCATGATTAATTCACATTCATTTCGCCGGGGATCTATTGAATGAGTAACAAGGCATTAACATGCAAAATGTCACCACCTGCATTTTGACACCAAACACCAACTGCCAAACGCTGAATAAAACCCACCAAACATGGTCCACAAGAATGCAAGAGATTGTAACAATATGTCTCCACTTCTGGTAGTGACATAAAAAACATTTAAGGTGATATGTGATAAAGAAAACATGTACCTCATTGCATCATCAAAATATTTTGCAGCTTTCTTGGCATACGAGTCCCTTCCACACAGCAGGTCTATCCAGCCTCGAAGAGTCAATGCCTTAAATACAGTTTCAAAAGTTAAGTTCTTTAAGCAATAAGTACATGCATTTAGAACAAACCAAACAATTTGTTTCAAGAGTAACCGTTCTGTCATCCTTCGAACAAACACATGTAGGGGTCTACAAATTACCCACTTGTCCCTAACTTCTTCAGTTCTATACTCCATAATTCTAGTAAACATGAACAACTCATAGATTTTATCTAATTTCTTAACTAAACATAAAGTAGAATAAAGTTAACATCGTCTAGAATACCTCTTTAGATTGTGGGTTCTGTTTGAGTGATCTGTCTACATATTCCCTTGCCTTGTCATGGCGGCCACTGTGAAACAGGAACAAGGCTCCAAAATATAAACCCTTTAATAAAAATTGAATACAATGTTAACGAACAACAATTATCTGTAATGAGATTCTGCACATCTTCCAGGTAAATGCTTTATTTAAACAAGACAATGATGTCTTCTTTGCAATAAAATACTATGAAATATTTTGTTCTGCTGATTTTGCTTTTCTGTCTAGATAAGGAAGGATCTACAGTTTTGGAAATGGTCATTAGAGTAAAAACTGTATTTCAATCAATTCATTTGCAATGCTCCCCTCTCCCCCTCTCACCCCTCATTTGGGTTTACATTTGACTGGTTTCTTGATGTTAGGTAATGCTAAATGACAGCATGTCATACAATATGATGCATACCTTTTCTCCAGCTTGTTTTCTCTCATCCTTCAGCCTTGCATCTAGTTCAGACACAGCTTCCCGATCTACATGAATATTATCCAAATCACATCACATATCAGGCAGATTTAAAAAAACTCAAAATAAGACTGAATAAATCATGTTGATATTACATAAACGTTGTGAAGTTTTCTAGAAGATAGCAGACCAGGATTTTCTCAAAGAGAATTCTAATAATTACCAAACCAGTCATGTCTTAATTATGTTGTAAGTTTTACTTTATGGTACATTCATATGACCAATTCATTTTAGCCATTCCAGTCATAATAATGTTAATATAATCAATTACCTAATATACAGTATAGGCAAAGAAAATAAGATTCAATTAAAAATGATTATTATCTTTTTAAAAATGCACTGTTCAGTAATTTTCCAGATTTCTGTGAATTATTGTGTGTTTGCCTACCTACAGTCCTGGAGAGTTTATGTGCATACATCAGTGCCATATACGAACACAGGTTGATATCTCTCTTCTCCTTGAGCATGTCAAGCTCTCGGATACCATCCTGGACACGACCTAAGGGACAAAAGTGAGACATGGAAGCATGTATTCAAAGTAACAGCTAAATTTTTCATACCTAAATGACATATTGATTCTCTGGAGCTCTGAAAATGAGATCTATGTTAGATCCAATCTGGAGATAACACCCTATGCAAAATAGGCTTGCAAACAAGTGCAATCTTTAAATCTCAGGTGTACGCAGAATCTACACACTTAATTTAACTACCTATCCCTTCTTAATTAGGTTTTGAGATGGCCATTGATAAACAACTTTATCCCTTCATATAATTGTGGTCTCGCGTGATACTAACAAAGTTGCTAGGACTTAATCTATGATCTCTAACTTGCTAAGTTACCTTCAAGCACCATGCCATAAGCACTGAAAAACTTGAGCACGGGATCATTGCCATATTTCTTGAGGCCCTCAACAGCTGCAGTCTGCATATGTCGGAAGTACCTCTCTCTGCAGTAGTAGTTGATCTTGGCCTAGAAGCAGGAATAAGTTAATTAATTAAGTTAATCAAATAAGTTCACTAACCTTATTTGGATGATTTTGATTATCATAAAAAAGAAGGATACAAGGCATCATTTTAACAATTCCTTGACATTGTGAAACATGCAAAATGTCACCACTTGGCATTTGTTACAGATACCAACCACTGAACGACAAACACCAAACATAATACACAAAGAGTTTGAAACTATAACAATATGTCAACACTTGAGGTGGTGACATAAAAAGTGGGGAATTAATTTGGATGATAATCAAAAATAGATATAAGGGGAAGGATATATCAACTACATGTACATGATCAAAATATAAAAATAAAATTTTTACTTTTAATATATAAAAAAAGTATAACTCAAAGTAAAGTCAACACTATCTTACCAAAGTGGCCGCATCGGCATCTGCCATGTCCCCTTCTTATTTCACTCAGTCAGTGTATAATCTCTGGAAAATCAATTTTGCTTTAATTTTTCACAACCATTTTTAAAGTTTTTACTCTGCATTTTCATGAATATCCATGGTGTTTTCCAAAAATCTGTAATTTTCATATTGCTTCTCATGGTTCTCTCCCAATAACACGCTATTCTTTGGGGAGATATACTTTAGTGATATATGTCCCAAAAACAGCTATGTATATGATTGTATATTCAAAGTTCCAAACTTTTTCCAGAGCACCCACACTTGACTAAGTGCCTGGACAGTGGACAGTGCTTGCATTTTTTTCTTTTTCTTTTTTTCAGTAGGCCTAGAGAAAATATTTGGAGAAATGGACAGAAAATCAAAGGTATACTATTACTATGAAGGTATACAACTGAATATCCAAGAGTTGCGACAAAGACCCTTTTTTTGTTGTCAATTTCAATTGCCATGTCAATTTCCTCTCAAGATTGAAAGTTTCCAAATCTAATTCCTCTGAGAGTCATAAAACTTCATTTTATTCTTGAGATAACATACAAGTCCAATTTTAGCCAGAGTAAATGTAATACCTGGTAAGTACCTTGCTTGCAAAATCAATGTACATTAGAACCTGTATAAGTGGAACATCCTCCGTTCTGCCAAAAAGCGTTTCACTTAGGAAGTTAGGAGGTGTTCCACTTATGGAGGTTTTGGGTTCACGGGGATTAAAGAACATACAAGATCAAATATAGGGTTTATATGTATCACTAGATATATGATTCTCCGTTCATCGCAGGGCAGCTATATACCAGTTTCCATGCTTGATGCCCAAAGCCAAAATTGGCTGTGCTACACATTCTTCCTACCCATATTATTTAGAGTGAACACCTTTTATGCTCCTCTATTCTGATCATGTCTTTAAGAAAGCGATAAGATCAACTGTTAAGGGTTAAGACTTTTCAAGGTGTTAAAGAGGCTCTATGCCATAGGATAGCACAATCAAGACCCCTCCGGACTTTTTTGCATATTGAGTTTCACCACATATATACCCATCTACTTACCAAAGAAGATCATGGGCAGATTTTGAGTTGACTTTCTCTTCAAAGCCACAGTGAACAACATCTATTGATCTCTCTTATTAGAAGTATCTTCTTCCTATAGAGATCAATGGATGGTGTTCACTATGTTCAAAGCCCATGGCTAGACCTACACTCATTTTTTTTTTTCTGTGAACCAGTTCATATGGTTAAAATAACGAAATAATGAAATGTTACCATGTGTCTACTTAGCAGTTTGTTCTATGTCATCCATCCTGCTAGGTTACATTGTGGAACTCCGCCAAACACGACACTGAAGGCAACAGCATATCGATCTTGATCTTAGCAGAATTTTTGGAAATTTAGATCGTCCATTTTGCAAGCTCACATGACTGTACATGTGACACGTGTGTGATCACGTGACATGTGTCTGATCACGTGACTAGTTACTGTATCGATCATGTAACTAAATGACGTGTCACCCAACCATGTTTTCAAGGAAAACGGTAGTAAATATTTTTAAAAACGTTTTGCGAGCATTTGCTACTGATTATAGAAGGCCCAATTACGCAATGAAACTGCTAAATTTGAATTTTTAGTCTGCTTATTGATCTATTGATTCTTAAAGACCTGAAATGATGCATTCAAATAAGACCGCCTCCTAAATGAAAACACTACACATAAAGTGGTGAAAAACAACGAACTAAAGTTGAAAAATCGCAACATTCGCTTCTTTGTTCAATTCCGGAAATCTCCAAGGGGCTACAAATGGGAAATTATTTAGATTTAGATTTTATAACCTCAGAATACTGCCTTCAGTGTCGTGTTTGGCGGAGTTCCACAATGTAACCTAGCAGGATGGATGACATAGAACAAACTGCTAAGTAGACACATGGTAATACTTCATTATTTGGTTGTTTTAACCATAGTCTATCTTTACTGAACACAGCTAGCTCAAAAGCCAGCTGACGAACCGTTATAATATACCGTCTTGTGAAGCGGTTTTCTCCAACTTCAAAGCGGGCGCGCTGGAATAAGAAACTGTATTTAAGATGATAATTGAATGTAACTTGCCCTTTTCATGACGCGTGGTGACAATAAGTCCTACTTGTTGTGTAATTGCAGTTAAGTGGAGAAATTCCAGATCTGGCGCGCACCTTTTTTTTAACTTTTTACGCATGCGTGCACTTTTTATGCGCATGGGTATTGCCGCTGAAAGATCATTTGACTTTATCATATTTAGCTAACGCGAGTTATTTTGTAGTAAATTTTTACCATGATTTTTACTTTCGAAAGCCAAGAGATCTCGCGAGACCTAAAATGGCTGGAATCTAAATTCAAAAGTTTTGTTGTCTAATAGAACATTGATTTACTACAACAACAGACTGTTGAAGGAACAAAATAAGGTAACAACAAATAAGTTATGTATTGATTCAAATATATAGTGTATTATAAACGCTACTCAGCACAGCGTTTAGTCAAAATGGGCTCGATTTATTCTCTTCAAGTACACATACATCCAACTTCCCAGAGCTGACTTCTGTCAGCTCGGTAGAGTACAGTTGGGGACATAAATAAATGACAGGTGGATTTGCTGAAGTGAGGATTTCCCATGTTAAAAATAAGAGAATTTACAAGAGGCCATAAATCGGTAGAGGTTCTATGTAAGCAGTCACGACACTTAGAGCATTTTCCCATTTAGGACACCCATGGAAATTCTCCTTGTGTCCACTACAAATTTGGGAATTCTCATTACATACACTCAAACTTTATTTCTACATTTCACATGCAAGCCACATCAATTCATATGTAGTTTCCTCTTGTGTAATTCCACGAACACTATGACACACCATTTGTCTCTAAGCTCAATGTCCAACATGTGTCAGGTACCTATACACATCGTGACCGATGCAAGCAGTCACGAAAATTCATCAAATCTCGTCCACATCAGTTATGCCTGTGAAATCTCCTCCACACGTGCGCACGTACCTGTATACGTAGTACTAACTCCCTTACATGCGCGAATCTCGCCCACATCCGTTTTGCCTGTGCATTCTCCTCTACACGTGCACGTAGTACTTACTAATTCGCCCTAATTCCCCTGTTTCACATCTTCGCACAGATTGGTGGGGTAAACGGGGGTACGGGGAAACGGGGGTACATACTCATGCATTTACATATCTCCTATACACTTCATCCTACTATATTACGTACCGTGGTTGGCGGGGTAAACGGGGTAGATACTCTGACATGTATTTACATATCTCCTATACACTTCATCCTACTATACGTACCGTGGCTGGCGGGGTAAACGGGGTACATACTTCACATGTATTTACATATCTCCTATACACTTCATCCTACTATAAGTCATGTAAGTAACGTGGTTGGCGGGGTGAACGGGGTAGATACTCTTACATGTAATTACATATCTCCTATACACTTCATCCTACTATACGTATCGTGGCTGGCGGGGTAAACGGGGTACATACTTCACATGTATTTACATATCTCCTATACACTTCATCCTACTATACGTACCGTGGCTGGCGGGGTAAACGGGGTACATTCACATGTATTTACATATCTCCTATACACTTCATCCTACTATACGTACCGTGGCTGGCGGGGTAAACGGGGTACATACTTCACATGTATTTACATATCTCCTATACACTTCATCCTACTATACGTACCGTGGCTGGCGGGGTAAACGGGGTACATACTTCACATGTATTTACATATCTCCTATACACTTCATCCTACTATATTACGTACCGTGGTTGGTGGGGTAAACGGGGTAGATACTCTCACATGTATTTACCCATCTCCCATACACTTCATCCTACTATACGTACCGTGGCTGGCGGGGTTAACGGGGTACATACTTCACATGTATTTACATATCTCCTATACACTTCATCCTACTATATTACGTACCGTGGTTGGTGGGGTAAACGGGGTAGATACTCTCACATGTATTTACCCATCTACTATACACTTCATCCTACTATACGTACCGTGGCTGGCGGGGTAATCGGGGTACATACTTCACATGTATTTACATATCTCCCATACACTTCACACTCAAAGCCACTTAAGTGTGAAATAGATTTTGTTAAAAAGTGAAAAAAATTCTAAAATGTTTTTTCAAATAGACATATAGTATATATCTGTATACAATTGTACATTCGTTACCCAAGGCATTTAAGTAAACTCCAAGGGAAATTGGCGAATTTTCAAATTGAAATTAGGGTCCGTCTCAAACATGTCGATCAAAAACAGGAATATTTTTTAATGTATCGTCGGGAAATAATTATTCTTCGGAAAAAGATTTACATCAAGAGCACGATTACAGTAGCATTAACCTTCAAGAATTATTACAAAGGGCAACACATTTTCATTCATTGGCGAAACAAATAAAAAAATTCGGAGATTTGGTTGACGTTTTTGACATTGAATCATTACCCTTGATAGATACAGAATTTTTGAAATTGTCAAGATCTGCTAATTCAAGAAACCATGATGAAAACAGGCTATCAAATAATATAAAAGCCTTTGGGTTTGAACGTATACGTGTTCAGGGAGATGGAAATTGTTTTCATCATGCGATCGCAAATATTATTAAATTGTTACTTGAGCAGGGTGAATCACATATTCAAGATCATCTAAATTCTTTGGGATTCACAAGTGCAATGGAAATGAAAGAAATGTCAACTTTGATCCGCCATAGTGGATGATGCATCCGGAGACGTACCAAATATTCTTAAACGCGGACAATGAAAATAGTGTAGGTAATAACTGAGGCCACTGCTTTTTTACAAAATTCATTTTATGATTCTAATTTGGGGAACAGTTTGCCCTTTGCTGCAGCAAATGTTTTTAGTATGCCGATAGTGGTAATTACAGACAATGAAAACGCAATAGAAATAATAACCCCGACGCTTTCTTCACCGGTTGATAATGAAACTATTATCAGCGTTTCCTTAAGTAATGCGGGCTCAGCAGGTC